GGTGATTAATTTTAGGGTAGTAGTTTTGGCACTCACGTTTTAGCGGGGTGTACATCGCGAATTGAGTCATTTACAATTCTTTATTCACTCGTAGAGAAGTGCGGGAGGCTAAACGATGAGTGTAAAAATCAGTTGCCTAATTTTATACTCATTATCGTTTGGTTGTGATCTGATTAGTGATTACACTTCCACAACCCTCATCCGGAGGTTTTAGTGGAAGTTCCACTTATATCTACATTTATTTGTTTCTTGGGTTGCCTGGGATGAGGATCATGCCATCAACCAATAATTAAACAATTTAGAAATGCCAAAATGTGGCATTAATTAGTCAGTATAGGATAGGATAACGAAAATGATATTGGCCGTAGAATGTGGTAGAGGTAGATAGCGTATACCACCCAAAAACCTTCTTGCTCCTCTGTTTCTTTCCCCCTCTCTCTCTCTTTTTAAGCTTTAACTGCTCGAAGTCTTGTCTCTTGATATTCGAATGAGACTCGAAGAATTGTACAATAATTGTGAAGATTTTTGTTTGCTGTAGTACTACTTTCATTTTTGTCAACAACAATTCCATTCTAAACACTGGAGAGCAAAAAGGAAACACAGCCAGACTGAAAACAAAGAAAGCTAAAGGCAAAACATGCCCAGCAAGCAAGAAACAAATAAACTAAGAAAATCCTACATATTAGGTGAAAAGTCCCAATTTTTCATTGGTTTTTGGTCCTTTTTTTTAAATTCCAAGTTGGGTTACCTTCTAACAAGTTTGGATATCATAGTGAAGAAGACTGATATCCAAATAATATTTTGAATTCGCACAAACTTCCTTACAGCTACTATCTGTAAGCAGAGTCGGCCTATGACATGTGCGGGCTGTGTGATCGCACAAGGCCCCCAAAATTTAGGGGCCTCCAAATGTTTTTAAAAGCCCAACATTATATTATATTTGTGGATATGTGTAGTTTTTTGTATGTAAAAGAAAATTGAATGGATGCAAGTATGTGAAAATAGACGAAGGATGATCTTGATTCTATTTGTGGGTTCTAACGTAATTGATACCACATATTTTGGTTTAATGTATGATTTATGCATTTTAAAATTCGAAAATTGTTAATTTACTTATACATATAGGGCCTCATCAGTTTTCTTCGCACAGGGCCTCCATATCTAATGGACCGGCTCTGTCTATAAGACTTGAGAAATGGTGGTAAAATTGATTCGCATAACTCCAATTTACAAGTTTTTCTTTCTACAATAGCAGGGCGATACATTCTTATGTGTTAAGGCTTTTAATGGCTTGGTTCAAAGTTTGGAGTTTCAAAAATGAAGCTACACAAAACAAATATAAAATTGCCAACAGCTAGTCCTCACTCATGTTGGTTGAGAGAGAAGATTAAAATCCCTAAATCCGAAACCCAAAAATTCAGAAACATGAACAACAATTTCAAAGAAAGAGAAAGAATTATATAGAAAGAACAATTTTTTTTTTTTTTTTTTTTTTTTTTTTTGGTTGAAAGAAAGTGTCAGCAGAAACGTGATGGGGAAGAGAGAGAGAGGAGAGAGAGAAAAATGCTTTTGTGAGAGAAATTTAACTTTCCGAGAAAAATACTTTAATTATTTTTTATGTAAAAAAATTATGTCAGATTTAATGTCATCCATTGAAAGTTGAGTAATCTAATGGCCTAAAAATTGTGTATAACATATGGTGCCACGAATCCGCCCTATATATATACAGTCCCCTTCTATTGAGGGATCTCTCAAATAATTTTATTTGAGGGACGCCCTTTAGGATACCCTACAATTTTTTTTCCAATGATCCAAACCATCTATTTTTTAGGTCTTCATTCATAGATCATCCTTACAAAAAATTAAACAAATCGGAAACCGTTTCGACATCCAATTGTGTCTTACAAAATCAATGAACTCGGTGCTTCAAGAAAGTACTAAAATTTTAATAACTCAATTGAATGGTCAAATGATATCAGATTCAAGTGATTTTTTGTAGAGATGATATTTCAATGAGTATATACAAAATAGCCGGTTTGGATTAGTGAAATACAATCCGGAATGGACCCTACAAGGGGTGTCCTTCAAATAAGCTTAATTGAGGGATCCCACAATAGAAGCTCCATGTATATCAGTATATATATAAAGAGTTTTAATTGAAGGATCCCTCAAAGTAACTTATTTGAGGAGACACTTTTGTAGGGCCCACTTTGCATTGTATTTCACTAATCCAAACTGTGTATGTTTTAGATAATCATTCAAAGATTATCTCTACAAAAAATCACTTAAATTCGATATTGTTTGACCACTCAATTGTGTTATTAACATTTTAGTACTTTCTTGAAGCACTATGTTCATTGATTTTGTATGATACAATTGGATGTCGAAACGGTTTCCGATTTGTCTAATTTTTTGCAAAGATGATCTACGAATGTATATTTAAAAAATAGATTATTTGGATTGTTAGAAAAAAAAATTGTAATATACCCTAAAGGGTGTCCCTCAATAAAAGACAACTATATATATATATATATATATATATATCAATAAACTCAAGGTGAGAACATCATTATGCCCTAATAGTAATGCTATTATTGTGATATTAAATCGTGGAAGAAAAGGACAGGCACGTACTGTATTCATATCCTGCACATCTATTCCATTAGCTGGAAGAGACCCTACCAGCTACCATTAATAATTGATCGAGTGTCTGGTTGATTCTTTCTATTGCTTTTGTTTTTAGCAGTGGGTGAGTTTTTATTTAGAACATTTCACATTTTTTAAAGTAGTTAGTTCATTAGTGATAAACATGGATTAAGGGTTAGATTACCCACATAAAATATTGAAATAGCCTTCTTCTTCTTCTTCTTCTAGAATCTCCCATCTTTTTGTTGTTTAGGTTTATTTGTCTTTAAGTTTACTTACTTAACGCCAATAGGTCTAGCCTATTGAAAAAGGACATTGATTTGCAGTTTAAATTATCGCTTATAAAAAGAAAAGTTTACTTACTTACCATTATATGAAAATTTAAGAAAGAAGAAAACTTGTGAAAGATATGTGAACTTTGTTTTATCAGTTTAAAATATCATGATTTTAAGCTGGCAAACTGGCGATGGGAAAGCAACAGAACAGAGAGTGTGTGGGTGTGAAAGAGATCATACAATGTTTTATTTATTTATTTCTATATGCAAGCAAGCAAGCAAGCAATGGTTTTTGAGTTCTTGAAGAATCACCAATCTAAATTGCTTATGGAATCTTACTTTGTGGCCCCTCGTTTTCGGTTCGATTGTTTGCCGTGCCGGCTTAAATTGTTCCCATCATTCATCACTAAATGTTATGGATGCTTTCAATATATTTATAAATATAATAAAGCCGTCTACATGCATTCTATTAATCTAAAATTACAAGTTTAATAATATGATAATCTCAAATTATATAATGATAGGCAAAAGCTTACTGGCCGAAAGCAGCAGCCATATGCATGCATAAAACAGTTGTGCAATTTGTCGCTCGAATGTCATTTTCTCCCACCCAAAGAAAGAGACTAAAAATAATTTGAAGCGGGTCTTAATAAGTCAATTCTTATTTGATTGCTTATCTTATGTATGTTGAATTGTCTTTTCCGATTAGAATGGACACCTATCAATATTTATAGCAGTAAATCCAACCTCCTTTTCAATAATTAGCTCCTCAAATCTGTATTTGGCTCCCTTTACACTCTTTATTCTTATTGATCTAATAATATTTTATCGCATTTTTATCAAAGTACATATCCTCTGTGCTACACGTATTATTTATGATTATCTTTCATATCAAGAAGGAAAATAATATGGTTAAATTTATGCATATTATATGAAATTAATCATAATAAAGTGCAGCGTCACATGTGACAAATAATGAGAGGGTGAATTACACCATGTGTCCATCCTCATCGAATGATGTAAAGGGAGGGAAAGGCAAGTGAATAAAACATGCAATTAGTGTTAAGCTTTAGAATATGCAATTATAGGATATGTGGCGCCTTTTAGTAAGGACGGTGAGTCCATTCTCTTGTATTCAAATTCGAATTCCCCTTTTCATATATTAAATTAATTTAGAACAATTAAACTATTGTTTATATAAAAGTAAAAAAAAATACATATATATTTGTTGTCGCTATAAGGCAGCTAAAATAATGGGGCCATGACCTCGTTGATTGGCATTCTTACTTGATTTCAAACCAACCAGGCATAATATAAAGTTAATCCTTTTAGTAAGGATCGTGGGTCCATTCCCTTGCATTCATATTCAAACTCTCATTACAATAGTTGTGTATGTGTGTGTGAGAAATCTCACTCTCTATATTTTAGACTATTATTTGCACTAAAAAAGCAAAAAGAAAAGGCCTAATTATCATAATTCAGGCCCCCGTGATTTGATTTTGTCTATTTAGCTTTAAAATAAAAGCTAACATCTTTGTTAGAGAATCTCCGACCGATATGTCAAAAGTGCCACATAGATATTTAACGGCTATAAATAATATCTCACATCACTCTAACCGAACTGTCAAAGCTGATGTGGAATGAAGGCTGGAGATTCAGCTGTTATTTTTTACATCTCAAAAGCAAGATGTCAAATAAATATTTTATTATTTTTTTAAACAACTGGCTTCTACTTTCATTTATTATTTTTCTTTTTCATTTTGTTTCATTCTTTCTCTTTCCAGTTTATTTCCTACCGTTGAACAATTGTTTTTAAACACACGACCAGTTCTTCCTATCGTACATGTATTTGTTTATCACCTCTTTCATTTTCTTCAAAAAGCTATATATATATATATATATATATAAAGAACTTGTGCTCAAACACAATTCTTCTTTTATACCAAAAAAATTTCTTTTCTTTTACAATGAATTGTGAAGAACCCCAACATGTCTCATCATTTTTTAGATTCATCTTCTGATTCGATAGATGAGCACTTTTGGGATCTTGTTGATTCAAAGTCTGATGAAGAACTAGAAATGTTGGAAGTGGTTGCTTTGCAAAAGGAACAAGAGAATATGGAAGGAGAAACGAGTAAACATCGTGGTGTTGTCCAAGGTCATGCATATATCGACAGAGGACGACTACAAGGGCACCAAAGACTCTATGATGATTATTTGGAATGTGTGATGAGGAAAGACTATATTATACTCAACTTAGAATGAAAATTCTTCGAGGAGATGGATTGTGAATTATATTTCAATGAATTCATTATCTTGTAGTATTTTTTTTCTTTTTCAATTAATTGATTGTCTTTTAGTATTTTCTTTTCTTTTTAATTAAAAATATAAAAATTATAAATCAACACTGAAATGTAATAAAATAATAATTTAATTTGACATATCGGGTGGAGTGTAAAACTGTGTAAATGTCAAATTGCCACATCAGCCATCAAATTTAAATTTGATGTTTGAAATTTGACATCTCTCTTGGAGATGCTCTTAGAAACCCAAACTGTTAAGGAGATGTCAAATTGAATGTGGAGGCCAAGTCAGCTTGAGGTGGTTTTTGTAGTTTTTTCCAAGCTGACTTCTGCCTACACGTTGGATTTGACATCTAACTAAAGTTTCCCAACCTGTGGGGCCCATGAATAGAGGGTTGGTCAGTTTGCATTTTAACGGGGTACAGGAATTTAATACCTCACTTTCAACGCAATACGACCCTCACAGTCAGAACTGTCGGCCATCACTCATATCCTTTTTCTTTTTTTTTCCCAGAAAAATTCAGCAATCCTCCTCCGGTAATTATATTTCCCGCGGTGTTCTACATTATTCAGATTGGATTCCTTTTAATCTACTCTGCTAATCTATTCTTTCTTTTTCTCTCTCTATTGTCTTTTTCTGCACTCAACACCATCAAACTCAGCTAAATTCCAAATAACAGAAAATATTAAAAATTCAATGTTAAATATGAGCAAAAATTCAAGGAGCATACCTAAACTTTTCCCTTTTCTTAAAAGAAAGAAAATAATTGAATCTCATTGTTTATTTTTTAGGGAGATTCATTATTATACTTAATATAGGGGCCTAAATTATAAAAATACCTCATATGAAATGGACTTTAGAAACACACCTAAAGCTTATTTACAACATAACAAAGAGGCTTTTAACTTCTAATAAATTACAAAACTGCCATCAATTTCTTAAAACAAGCTCAACCTCAAAATCTCATAAAAATACTCAAAACACTCAATAAGGCATCAAAGTAATTTAATAATTAATATTAAATTCAATAAAGCCAGTTGTCATTTTTTGAGTTTTTTTTTGTTTGTTTATAGAAATTCAATAGTGTAGAGTTTATTTATAATATTAGTACTAAGAATGGGTATATCACTAAATATCTCTTCTTCTTTTTTTGCCAAGTTATTATTTTAACAACAGTATCTAATTTCATCATTAAAAATGTATAAATAAACCCAATCCTAAACATGTATTTATAAAAAAACTCAAACACTATTTAAACATAGAAACACACCCAAAATTAACCTCAAAATCAACAATTGTATATTTTTTGGGTGTGTTTATAAATGGGTTTTGAGTGTGTGTAATGATGGGTTTTGGGTGTGTTTATAAAGTGTTTTGGGTGTTGGATTTTTTTATAATTTCAGCCCCCATTTTGGGTGCTTTAGTGAAACTCCCTTTTATCATATCTTAATCTCCGGCCCATTTTCTCTCCCTGTCCTTAGCCTTTACCCCTTCTTTCCTGGTTATTGAACATGAAATCCCAAGCCTTTGTTCCGTTGGTTGGTTTTGGAACTCTAGGAAAGAAATTGAATGGCTAAGAGCCCATTGCAAACTAAGCCCAATAAATCCGCAAGCGAAGGTGATGCAGCAACTTTTCACCCTTGTGGTCATGCAAATCGCCCTCAACACCAGACTCACTGGCACGAGTCATCTAATCACACCAACCTTGCAAGCTACCTTCCCCGCCAATCTGCTGCGCACCTCTTAGAAACCCATACCCTATGAAACAAGAACAACCTTATAAATCTAAGGACCCCCGATACAGAACCCCTGCCTCTCATTTTTGTGCCACGATTTTAAGCTAGGCTCCCCCTCTCTCTCTCTCTCTCTCAGCCACAGTGATCTTCAAGGTCCCTTCAGAATTGGTGGAGAGGAAAACTAAAAGACGTCACAGAACAGAGTAGTGCTCTCTCTCTCTCTCTCTCTCTCTCTCTCTCTCTCTCTCTCTCTCTCTCAATACTGACCTAATATCTCCTCTTTTTGAAGGTAAAGTTGCAATCTGAAGGAGAAGTCATGGCAAGGAGTAATGTAGTTTCATGGAGTCTCATTTTCTTGGCTATGGGGCTTTTCAGTTATGTATCTGTTCAAGCCACCAGAGAAGGGAGGTCTCTGATAGATCTGAGAGACAAGAGACTTGATTTGGACAATGGGTTAAAGAATTGGCACGGTAAAGAGGCAACTTATCGAGGGCTGACAGCTGATGGTTACGGGGCAGGGCCTGGTTATGGTTTTGGTGGTGGTGGGAGTGGTACAGGCAATGGTGGCACTGGTGGTGGTAAAGGCGGAGGCTATGGTGATGGCAGTGGTGGCTTTGGAAGTGGTGTTGGGTATGGTGGTAATGGTGGCAATGGTGGCGGATTTGGTAATGGTGTTGGAGGAGGTGGTGGGTTTGGTGGAGGCTCGGGCACAGGCCCAGGTTATGGTGGTGGTGGGGTAGGCGGGGGTGGTGGAGGATATGGTCATGATGAGAAGATGAATTAGGTCCATGAAAATCTTCACTGATTTTACTAAAATCAGATAACTCTTTTCCAGCAATGCCTTGGAGGACAAGAAAGATTTAAAAAAAAACAAATAAAACCTCTCTACTTCGGTTCTGTAGCTCTTTAATTTTCCATGCTGTAACTCTGTTATGAAATAAATCAAAGTATTTGCCCTTTGCATCAGTAGTATTGAAGTTACTTCTTCTGATACACTTAGCTTGGTACAGGTGTGCTGTTTATCTTAAGCACAGAGATAGGACAGAACGACAAATATTCCATACATGCCACCAATTGTGTGCCCACCAATAACTATGACAACTCCTATGACAATAACTACGACAACTCCTATGACAACTCATGTAATGCCAGGGTCAATGAGAAAATTCAACGATTAGAAACCTAATATATTAAGGAAAAATTGCAGAGAAAATACAACCAAAAAACATTGTAAAACTATATGTGAATAATTTAACTTTAACAACAACCAAATGACAGTGCCAAGAAACAAAAGATAAATCACATCTATCTATGCACGCATGCATGCACAACAGGCATAAGAGGGAAAGAAATAACAGAGAATTTGTGAAGAAGAGGGGTATCCTTCGAAGCCAATTGATTTTCCTTTACCCAAGAAGAGGTTTTTCTTTGATTCATGTACAAATTTCAGAACAGCATTACTATTTAGTTGTATACGACACACTGTTGTTCTGGTCTCCCAAGAACATAACCTCTGATTTTGTTCTGTCTTGTTGTTTCTTTTCTGAATAAAAGTGACTTATTCTTCTTCTCTTTTTTTTTTCCTTTTTTTCTTTTTTGGAAAATTTAATCAAACCCAGGATAATAGCACCTGAGGTTAGAAAGGTCAAGATATAGACCAACGATGTCATCAAGTGGCCTGAAATTTTTACACTAAACCAAGTTATATGCGATCTGTCAAGGGTGGACGTAGGGTGGAGACTGAAGACTCTTTCAATGTAATGCTAAGTAACTAAAGCTCAGATGTTGCATTCTATATTTTTCATATGCTAAAAAAACATTGATGTGGAGGGCATGATTTATGAAAAACTAGGGAGAATACAAGATAAGAAAAGCAAGACAAGGGATATAAGTCATAAAGATAATTAAAAGCAATGAGCAGGACCATTTTAAAGCATATGGCAAACTGTAAACTAGTTGGAATTGTAACAATCCAATCCACGAAACATTTGAATATATCATTTCCTGCATTTGGTTACTTTTTCTCACTCTAGTTCAACTGATTATCTGTCAAGAAGGTAAAACAGAACACAAAGTTTCTGAAAAACATTGCAGATCATTAAAATGTATGTTGCTAATGTGATTATAGTTTTTGTCACGCACATTGCCAACGTATATAAGAAGAAGCAACAACGACATGAACAGGCCCTCTGTTTCTAATCTAACTTTACATGAAACCTCATATTTCTCAGTAATATCTTATCTTTAACAACATTTGTTCGCATAGTTCAATTTACACCTTTTGGACAAAATAATAATTCCCACAGTTCAAGTATAATGCAATTGATTTATGCCTGACATTTTACTCTTGTTTTTCTCAATCCCGAATCTAGCAATTTACATTTATATTTTCATGGTAAGGTGTAAGATATCTAGGTTCAAATTACCATTTTCTGATTTCACCATTTTGTATCTCCACCATATTAGAATTGAGACACCAGTAAAGCAAGCATAAAGATATGGATAGCTACACAAACTAATTATATCAACAGAGAAAAATAACAGGAAGTCTAGTACCACTTGGCACAAATATCTGAAGAAGAGTTGAGAGCCGTAGGCTGAGGTTCAAATGCCCCCTTCGAAGTTCAATATAGCGCAACCTGCACACCGCGACCGCCAATATTTGCCAAGCGATCATCGTCCTTCAAATTTCACAGCAGCAGTAAAATCATCATCCAACTCACTCTTCTCAATCCCTTCCCAATCATCTTCATCGCTGTAATTGTTGAATTTAACCTCACTGGCCACGTGTGCCTCAGCCCTAACTTCCTCTGGTTGTGCAGAAACGACATCGTTTGTTGCTGATTCAGCGCTAATTTCTTCAACTCCTCTCTTCTCCGAGCTTTGCTGAGCCTCGTGGCCACGTTCACGATCAAAGTCGGTAGCTTTCAGTTTAATCTCATTCGCTTCGCTCTTTCCCTTTGCTTCATCGAAAGCCACAGCACTAAGCTCCTCAGATTGTGCAGTAACGACGTCGTTCGTTGCTGATTCCGCGCCAATTTCTTCAACTCCTCTGTTCTCCAAGTTTTGATGATCGAAGTCTCTCGCTTTCTCAACCGACACCTTCTCCTCGCCGTCCGATGGATTCTCCGGCAATCCGACGGCCACCGACTCTCCTCCTCCCAAACCTTCTTCCTCCAACACCTTCTCCGTCAATTCACGACCTTCTTCATGATGCTGCAGTGGTTCTTCAATTTCCTCAACTCGATGAACCGGTTTGTCTTCGAATTGAAATTGATCGACCTCCTTCACTTCTCCGACGAACTCAACCCTCCTCTGGCCGTGAAAAGCCTTTTCCACTTTCAGTCTCCTCTCTTCGAAACTCACCTCCTCCAAAACAACACCTCCACCGGCATTCTCACACTCTCTGAACTCCGCTTCCGATTGACGGCCAGCCACCGCCATGGCAACGAGCTTCGCAACCAGGAAAGAGAGAATCAGCGCGAAAGACGCCGTCAAAAACAGGTCCTGTACGAGCTCCATATTGATGACTAAAACTCCAAAACGCTTCGAACAAACGAATTGGAGAACGAAAGCCAAATAAAATTAAAGAGCGATGGCGATGAGTTTGAATAGTTTATAGAGGAAAAAGGAGAGATTGTGTAAATAAATAAATTAAAATTAAAATAATCATAGGTGAGCAAAGAGAAAGGGATATGTGAAGAGCAGAGCGAAGCATATTCTGATGTTTTAATTATGCTCTTTTTGCTTTGCCCTGGCGTCACTTTTTCCGATGGACACGTTTCGTCGCCGTATTGGTTAAGGTCAAATTGTGCATGCATTATTTTACAGTGCTTGTGAAGCTGCTCGACCTTTTCTGGGGTCAAATTTGTCTTTTTAGCGAAGCGTTTTTCGTTCTTATCCTGTCCCATGCAATTTGGTGACGGCGGTGATTGATTGGTTGGTGTTTGAGGTTTTAATGACGGTAGATGGAATCATGTGCATTGTGGGTTTTTATTTTGGCGCGTCCTGGTCAGCTTCGTGGACTTTGGACTTTGGAGGGAACCCACTCAACGTATCCGGTTTCCTTTTTCGGATCCTTTTCACTTTTTGGAACTTTTATTTTTGGGACTCAAGGAATCAGCCAATCAGTTGACATATTGTCAAGGTCACTCTATTGGGCTTCCGAAATTGGGCCTTCTCTTGTCAAGAGAACTAGTTTGGGCCTCTAGATAAGACCAAGTAAGCGAAAACCCAAGTCGTTCTATAGTGAGGATGTAATATATAGACCATTAGTGTGAACCTTCATATTAGCCGTATGAGTCATCTAAATAGTAACTTCACTTAAATTTAATGAAATTATCATGTGGCTAATATAAAGGTCCACACGAGGAGTTCATAATTTCATGCAAAAACCCACAAATGGGTGATTGATTGTTTTGGTCAAGAATTCTATAATTATGGCATTATATATGGTCATTAGGAGAGGCCTTATCTCTTCACTTTTAAATCAAATTGGCTAGCCTTTGGATTAATTTGGTTAGCATAATCTAAAGATTAAGAGATAAGACCTCGCCATATATAAGGCCCTAATTATAGAATGACTCTTGTTTTGGTACCTTTTTTTCTTGTCTATTCAATTTATGGTTAATTATGATTTTGATCCATATAAATTGGGCGCTCTTCTATCTTTTTGACAAAGCCATGTTCTAAACTACTCTAATATACAAGGAGAGAAATCAAACTCTAGTGTAAATGGGCAATTTTCTATTTATAATTTATTTGTTTGATAATGTGAAGAAATGTCTCACAATGGACAGTTGTTACAGTTGAAGAATTCTGAAATCAAAAACATACAAATTATGAAAATTGAAACTACGGAGTCAAATGTGTTAAAACTACAATAACCAAAATCAACCAGTTATTGATCTACTAATACTTCTCAATGAAATATTTAAAAAAATCCAAGTTCAGATCCTCGTTTTTCTATTATTCAAAAGAAAACTAGGGGAGCAAAACATAATTGGCCTTGAATGTATTGTTGTAGCTTCCAAACTACCACCTAAAGTATGACTCTTGACTGAAGAAAAAGAGTAGTGTGCATTGCCTTGTGCACGCTCCAATGGATGCTTCACCGTATTGGGTATCCTGGGTCCACCACTTATATACAATACTATTTCATCTCCTACCAAGTATATCGGCACCACAAATTGTTGTGAGCTCCAGCTGTACAAGTATCACTACTGAGCATACCACTATGTGCGGCATCCATTAATTTGTTTGGTTGGGTCAATCTAAATGAAACATCTTATAGACCTTGGTGGAAAATTAAAAATAAAAAGTTCGTTTCACATTGGTGTGGTCTGTGGTTTGTGTGTTTATGTCTCAATCCATAGCTGCCCTCATTGGCCTCAAGGCCCAAGGGGAAGTTTCTTGGTAGCCCTTGGATATGCGTGGTTTATTTCCTGGATCCAACAATACCTAATTGATGAGAGTGATCTATATAACGTACCTCGTCATCATCTCTATTTCTTGACCATTCTTAAAGCCTTGTGCTTCTTCTGTCTGCTACTAGTAGCAAACCTGTCCTGCAAGTACTCGGAGAAGAAGGGCAAGCAATGGGAGGAGGCAACGGTCAGAAGTCCAAGATGGCTCGCCAGAGGAACATGGAGAAGCAAAAAGCTTCTGCCAAAGGTACTCTAAATTCTAACTTCTAAGCCAACAAACAGAGATATATATATATAGTTTTGTAAACAAGGTAACTTATAAGTTGGTGACTAATTTCTGTATCTTTGGGTGAGCAGGAAGCCAGCTTGAGTCAAACAAGAAATCAATGACAATACAGGTAGTCCTCTTTCTAGCTCCTTTTTATGTTTTTGACTGCGAGATTGTCGTATGAGAATGAAATTGTAGATGAAGCTACTTGACATAAAAATTTCTGGTACTTTGAACACTTGCTTTGTTTCTGATACAAGATGGTGGTTGATGATCGCAGTGCAAGGTGTGCATGCAGGTTTTTATTTGCACCACGTCTGAGGTGAAGTGCAGGGAGCATGCAGAAGCAAAACATCCCAAATCTGATGTTTATACATGTTTCCCTCACCTTCAGAAATGAGAAAAACAATCCTAAGTGAGAAGGACCTGTAGAAAAGTGTTTGAAGCTTCATCTCTCGAATCTTCTTCTGCATAGTCCTTCCTAGACTCTTGGATTTAAATTAGCTAAAGCTTTTCTCGAATATGTAATAAATGTGCACGTTTGTTAAATCGAAGATTGTATTTGAAACTTGAACATGGATCAGCATAATCCAGAATCTAAAATACGCAAAACAAAGCAAAAAGAATTCGAGACAAATGAAATACTGTTGCATTGCATTCTGATTAATTGCTAAATCGAAATTAGTAAAAATTACAAATACGCAATTGGAGGAGAGAAGAAAGAATACCAGCATTTAAAATATATATATATATATATATATATCAGAAAAAATGGATGCAATGAACAGCCTAAGCTAGGTAAATATATTTTCTTGTTTGTGATCATACACAGACTACAGCCAAAGAAAAAGGGGATACAAGCTTGTTTACCAAAAGATTCTGTGGGAGTCTAGTGTTACTGAGTCCGCATCCGGCTATTTTCTGCACTTCTCACTTGGGAGAAATATGGATGTGCCTGAAACATAGAATATAGGAACCCAACAGTGAAAATTCTATTTCGTGCTTAACCATCAAACATAATATGCATCTTATTACAATACTAAAGGTTTTGTATCTAAACAATTGTGTATGTTGACATATATATTAAACACACATGAGGGAAAAAGAAACAGCTGCTAAATCTTAAATAATACCATTGCTTCTCCTGCTGTAAGCCTTTCCTGGTGATCATATCGAAGAAGCTTATCTAGAAAATCAATGGCCTATATATCACGAAAAAGACCAAAGAATCACTAGTAAGGAATGACAAATACGTGAATATAAGGTAAATCTTCTAAAAGTTTGTTTCTGGGGAGAAGAAGAAGAAGAAGAAGAAATTACCTCTGGAGAAACCAGATGTTGATTATCCACATTGATAAATCTTGACCACGGTTTCCTGCTGTGCCTGAATCAGAATTCAAAAGCAGGAAGGATACCATGTGAGTATCATGCCAGAAACAACTAATGAAAAGACAGACAAAGCAATGTATATCATTTTTTTGGTTACATAGGAACCAGAGGCCTAAAGCCACTGTTTTATTCTTTCAACCATAATGATTGATACCCCGAAGCCCTACCAAGCCCCTTATAACTTTATTGTGTTATGGCAGTAGAATGTTCACTCACATCTAAGATCATCTAAGTTTATGTTCCGGTTCCATGCTAAAGATGAGAAGATATACCTTCCAACAAGAGCATCGAGCTGAGGATCAAGGACAAGGTGATATTTATTCAAATATGCATTTAATTCGTCCGTTCCAAGAACCTGAAGAAGAAGTTATCTACATAAGGTAACAAATTATGTGAACATTTGCGCCGTATTGCTAATAAGTACTCAATTTCTATTTGCCCATTGATGAAACCTCAGTGTCACAACTAAATAACAATAAATGTATGATCAACTCACAGACAACAGGGAAAACTAAACAATCTTAAGAAGACTTTTAGACAGTGCAATGAAGAACTAGTTTTGGTGGTTGAAACGCATTAGGATATATAGGTGAAAGATTGCCTATAATTGTAAGATCTTCAAGCAAAGTATGAAACCAAAATTACCTTAGCAATTTTCACTAGCTGGTCATGATTGTCATGACCATAGAAGAATTGTTCCTTCCGAAAGATCTGCAAGGAAAGAGAACACCTTGTTTAGAAAAGTCTATCATGGTGAACAAAATGTAGCTGTTACAAAATAAATGGATACACAGAAATAACAGGGCAGCATAACCCTCACCATTCCTGCAAACATACAGCCAAGGCTCCACAAGTCTAAAGAATAGTCATAGTCTTGCAAATCAACAAGGAGTTCAGGCCCCTTATAGTGCCTGATAAACAGCATTTAAATTTATCAACTTTCTGCTAAGACAAAGATTTGCATGTTAACAATGTAAGAGGTCAGCATGGAAGTAACTAATAAACCTATTCGCCATCAGGCACCATGGAATCTATTGGTCACAAACTGAATTTCACTGCAAGTGCTATTTGATAACTGTTAAGAAATAGCTGCACATGCACCGTGCTAACAGTCCTTACAACTTATTCAACTATCAAATCCTTAGTTTATCTGAGTCCCTACAACTATTATTCAAATTAAGAAATTATGTCCATATTTACTCAACTCATCAAAGATTATTGCCTGGGTTGTCCAAAGTTTGGGTTGATACAACCCAAGTCCTACCCGTAGAGGAAAAAAAAGAAAAGAAAGGATGAGTCATTATGTCTTTTAAGAATCTAGATGAAAACTAACAATTCAATTGATTGGTTAAAAAGTTAAACGATAAAAGAGATTCTACCTTGAAGCTACACGGACATTGTACTCTTTGCCAGGATGGTAGAATTCAGCGAGACCCCAATCAATCAAGCGAAGTTTTCGCAGCTCATGATCGATCATAACATTGTGAGGTTTGACATCTCGATGTATTATGCCCTGCGAATGGCAGTAATCCAATGCCTGCAATCACGAGATAAGTTTTGAATTAGCCAGTCATGCAAAAGCTAAACCAGTACAGGTCAGAATCATGGGATTCAACCTCTGTGTCTGTTACACAGAATTTACAATTTTGTATTTCTAATTAGCTCTACCAACCATCAGGGTTATCCAAGTATTAAGAGAAAAGGGCAGGCCGGGGTACCATTAGTTAGAAAAATCAATGTTTCGCAACAGGATAAAAAACCTTGAGAAGTTCATATATATAGTAGCGAATGTCGTAATCTGTCAATGTGGGGTACAACACTTTGAAATCTGCACTGTTCACATATTCAAAGATCAAGCTAGGAGTTTTTGAGTGGTCATCCCGGACAATATCAAGCAGCTTCACAATATTTGGACCTCCACAAAGATTCTGTAGTATCTTTATTTCCCTCTTTATCTGCATGAATACCATTACTATGTTTCAGTTAAATTATATAAGGAAATGTAAATAAAACAACTTCTGACATACATGCACTTTTGTTCATCGTATCATTACCAAGACTTGAAGTTTTCTTCAGCATGACAGTTAAATCCCAAAAGTACAGGAACAACTTTAATAAAACCACACCTTCTTTTTCTTCACCGGTTTAAGGATCTTGATCACGCATTTTTCATTGTTGGTAACATTTACACCTTCAAAGACCTCACTGTATTTTCCTCTGCCAACCTTCCGAACAACCTCGTAGTCATCTTGATCACTGAGCAAGAAAAAATATTAAGCAAAAATAAGAAAAATAGTTGGGAAAATGCACCTTAAAAATTCATGGTGAAAACCTAAAAAGAAACAACAACAAAAATTTTAAAAACCTCTAAAATCACTGATTCCTTCCAAGAAATGCAGTCCAATGCCATGAAAATCAAATAATCAAACAAGTAACCAGTGGTAAGCCTCAACAATCAAACTATCACTTGTTGGTTCTAGCTACATTGATAGACCAAGGGAACACAAAAACAAGTTTATCTGATTCAATTATTCAAACTGCAGCAAGTACCCCGACCCTGGAACCTTCAATTGCAGCACACACAAAACAATGTAATGCAGCAAAGATAGAACAGACAGCATTATCATTTTCCCTTCAAATTGGGATTTTTCTGCACCTTCTACCAATTTGAAGCATTTGAAAGCATACAACACAAACCAGAAAGCTATAATCTACCCTAGATTACCAATTAACGATTCATGTAAAAGTAAGACAAATAAATCAAATATTTTGATTTCAATTGTTATTTTTACCCCCATTGAAGCGTGAGAGATTCGTAATCCCAGTAATCTCTAGGGCGGTGGACGTTGATGTCTGCGTAGACTCGAGCCCTGGACATGGCTACCCGGTTGACCTCTCCTTTTTTCTGTTATTATTCGCGCGATGATCAACAACACCCAGGTTGCCCTAGCAGAGCAACCAGCGATATCTTTTATTATTATTTCATTTTGTATTGTTTGGTCTTATTTTGTTACGCTCGATGTTCAAACGGACTTTGTTTATCAAGGCGGAAGAAGCTATCGGAAGATGTTGAGGTTTCCTGTAACTTATTCTTTATTCCGCGAAAATTTAACGGACGATGTGTCAGCAGAAAAATAAAAATAAAAATTCCAAAACCAACGGATGCTTTTTCTTATTCTTTTTTTGCTTAATATTTACTCAATGAAGTTTATCAATATAGATAACCTATATAAATTTGATTAATCTATTAAACTTAATATAATTTAAATGGGAGAATTCGAATATTCAAACTTAAGTGTAAAGAGGTGGACTTAATGCACAATTTTGATCTTACAAAATCGAGTACTGACTTGAAATATAAATTGAACTTTGGAAGTTTTATGCAGGTAACTCATTAAAAATAATAATTGAAATTGTGAGGTACAAATGTGACATGAATGATTATAATCCAATGTGTATGCTCACTCACTACTATTATTAAAGCATTTTTACACCATAGATACCGGAAAATATAATTTTTCCTATTTGACTTAAAAATGATCAAGAGCTCAATTATGTGAGTCCCAACAAAAACCATAGCCTCATGAGGGTGATTAGCGGTTGGGTTTAACATTAAGATAGACTAAATTGGTTTAATGTAAGAGCATCTTCAGTGGGGAGGTTGTATAATGAGGTGTATGTTAAATATACATTATTTGTTATCGGAATCATCTACAATTGGGAAGTGTAAACGATTGTAAATTTGCATCACAACCGTGAGATGCAAATTTAGATGTATATGTACATCCTTTTTTTACATCCCTTGCAGGTGAGGCCTACATGAGAAAAAGTGAGAAAATATAGACAAAACTGTGCAAAATTGATTATATATCTTTAGATTTATATCTTCCCTGTTTGAGCAAAAACCACATTTACAACCCCCAGAGGTGTAAAGGGAATGTAAATGTGGCTTTATACCCCCCAAAAATACACCCCCTGTTGTAGTCACTCTTAAGATTAAAATAGGCTAAATGGGTTTATGTTAACAAAGGCTATGGTGGAGGGCATGGAGTAGTGGTGCGGCTAAGACAGCGGCATACTATAAGAGTGACGATTGAAATCCTTGAACATGAAAAAACTCAACAACAACAACCCATCAAATCAAAACTGACAATAAATATTCTTCATAACTTTTTTTCCAATGTTAAATAATTTTTTTTATATAAATAAACAAATTTATTATAATACAGATGGCACAATACACCTTAAAATAAGGTAGTGAGTTACAGAAATACACTCCAAAGCAAAAGGCGTTGGATACGGACATAGCCCAAACTATAAACTGACATCTGGCAGATGATAGAATATGAGAATACATAATCTTGTCATAATTTTTTCGAGTTAGGCGAAAGTCAAAAAAAGAAGAAGTTAATTCAGTTTGAGGAAGGCAATCAGAAAATCGTTGATAGGGGGCATCCATAGAAGATTAGAAGAAGCTTCTCTCCAAGAGGAGAGAGGTCCACATAAGACAAAAGAGTGAGTTAATTAGTTGCAATTATCTTATCATCACCATCCTAATTTCTATAAATTATCTTATTTTGGTTTCAAATTTAAATCTAATTTCTTTAAAGCAGATATTGTGATCCTAATTTGTATTCATTCAGTCCCAATGGAGTGGTGGTCGCAAAAGATGAAGTATCCGGTGCGAAAATTTTGTAGCCGGGTCACTACCCGCCTCGGCATTCACAAATCAGGTATGTCATTTGATGTTTTTTTTTCCTTTTGACATAAGTAATATTGGGAAATGAAGATTCGAACACAAAACCTGCATTCTTTATTAAATTAACTTTTACACAATTGGATGCAATTTATTACATTTATCTATATATAAAAAATATACGTAATTATATATTAACATGTCATTATTATTTAAGTATTATTATGTTTGATGAAGATTATGATTATGTTTGACGAAGATTTGAGATTAATATGAACAGGGCTACCGAGTCTACAACATGATATAAGGAGTTGTGAGTACGATGACGTGCATGTGATGTGGAGGATGCTCAACCCAAATGAGAAGACGAAGACGATTCAATTGGGAGGAAGCTCCAAGAAGAAACGTTTCTCGAATTTATCAAATTGGTTTAAACGAACGCCTTTTGTTTGCCGTGCCTTTTGAATTTTGAACACCATGCCGTAAACATATAAATATAAATCAATATGGCCATCATAATTTTGTGTTTAGAAATTAAGGTGGAACATATAATTTGGTTTATTTAAAGAAAAAAGAAAAGAAAAGAATTGTGGGATCCAAATATTAGGTGGTGTCTCTGTTATTCTCCAATTGTCTCGGCGGTCAGCCGTCCGTCTGTAGATATCAACGGTTTATGTCTTCTTCTATTATTAAATAAACTTTATTTTATGTTTGCATATATTTGTCTCTCAGGCCACCTCCAGCATAGGCCCTTTTGTAGGGGTTTGGACTTCCAGCGGGCGCCAAGCAGCCCGGGCAAGATCTGCCTGAGCTCAAGCTCGTAGGCACTGATGTCAACGAGAAAAAAAAAAAAAAAAAAAAAAAAAAAAAAAAAAAAAAAAAAAAAAATTTTTTTTTTTTAAAAATACCAACAAATTATGGATGTTTTCCCTATAAATACATAACAATTTTATTCACTTTCCACACCAAATCCTTATACAAACTCTTCTCCTTCCAATATTTGTAAATTGTAATTTTTTTTTCTTGCATATGTAAATTGTTTATATTTTCTTTCATATTTATTTTTTATCTTGCATAATCATTTTATTTCTTTCATTTCTAAATTGTTTATATTTTGTTGCATAAAATCTTTTTTTTTCTTGCCCTTGCCCTAGCTTTTTTGGGGTGGAACCAAAAAAGGCAAGACTGCCACTATTCATGTGAATAGTAACAGCCCTTGCCTTGCCTTTACCTTAGCCTTAGCCTTAGCCTTTTGGGGTGAACATGCTCTCAGAGTTTTATATTCTAGCAGCAGCATGCATGTTTTCTTTCTACAACTTTTTGCCATTTGAAAAATCTACCTTACAAAATACACTTTAGTTTTGATCCTTTGAAACATTGATTGAAATTGTTCTAAAACATTGCATGAGTTAACTCAGTTGGCTAAAATAGTGTGCTCGTCCTCTTTATTTGAATTTGATCTCTCTTCCCGTATATTAAAGTAGTTTAAAATATCACTTTGTAAATTAAACAAACAATATTACGAACCTTAATTTTTTCCAACATACTATGAAGTTGTTACACATTTATGTTATGCTTGACAACATAGAGTTGAAAATGCTAAATTGATTGCGCAAAATTCAGCTGGCTAATATGAATTTGGATAAAATTAGAAGATCCCTTATTAATTTTCGTCTTATAAATTACGTATATGATGAAAGGACATCAAGGCAAAAAAAGTCATATTATATATTTTTGTTCTAGTAGTTTAACTCAATTTTCATTTTGGTCCATCTCATTTTAATTTTGACAATATACTGTAATTTTGAAAAGAAAAAGGGACTATCACGTGCCGATTGGAGGATGAAACGCCCCGTTACATGGAGGCGGCAAGAATGACTAAAACGCTGCGTTTCAGTCCTAGACCTATAAAAGCAACTAGAATTTACAAAATGGCAGTCATAGGATTAGGGTTTAGAACTCCATCGTCTTCTTGCAGCTGCAGAGGCAACGCAGTGAGTTGAAGGCGGCCTTCCAAGACGACCGAGCAAGAATCAAAATGGGCCATTCCAACGTTTGGAACTCTCATCCGAAGAACTACGGGCCTGGTTCCCGTACGTGGTATGAATTTCTTCCCCATATCTAAGCCTCAATCGTTCTTATATTTTGCAAGTGTTTGATCTTGGCTTGTTTCTCTTAGTAGAATTTTTCATTTAATCAGCATTTCCCTGTTTGAGATTTAGATTATGTATGCTAAATTACTTTGCTAAAATATCACTGTGTATCACTTGATTGCTAAAATATTAGCACAATCGCTCGATTAGTAAAATATTAGCACAATCGCTTGATTAGTAAAATATTAGCATAATCACTCGATTAGTAAAATGTTAGCATTATAACATTTTGGTAAAATATTATGGTCTTCTATACGACGAAGCATTTCAGATTTTAGTTTTTTGGCTTTTGAAGATTTTTTGGTGAAGGACATGTCTAATGTGGAAAACTTGTTTGTTACTTTGGACAGCCGGGTATGTGGAAACCCTCATGGGTTGATCCGGAAGTACGCCTTGATGTGCTGCAGGCAGTGCTTCCGCAGCAACGCCAAGGAAATCGGCTTCATCAAGGTATAAATTCCAATCCTTATGCCCTTTATTTTGTTATTTTTGGTGCTCTTTGGATGGTATAGGATATAAGCTTTTGTACTCGTTTCCCTGCCCCATTTCAAGTCACAATTTCTTAAAATGTCCCCTTAATGCCCCATAAATTTAGCTTGAATGTTCTGGGTTGGTGTTAATTTTACAACTCAGATGGATTTGTCCAATTCTATATCCGCTTGTCATCAGCTTGAATGTTTTGGTCACTTTTGTTCTGTATCCGTTTTTGGTATCTCATATAAATATCCCATCCTCCAAATAAATTGAAGTAAAAAATTTCAATGTACAGAGAAAATGTACCAGATTGATTTGTTGATGGAAGATACATATCTTTAATTTTGACCAATCATTATTATCTGTAGTTCTATACAGCTTTTTTGCTTGTTATTAGTTTGTGTATGTATGTATGTATGTATGCCAATGTCTTGAATTTGAATTTCAATGTACAGAGAAAATGTAGCAGATCAATTATTAGCATCTATACTTCCATACAGTTCTTTGGCTTGTTATTAGTTTGTGTATGTATTTGCAATGTGTTGAATTTGAAATTATATTAATTCTGTGTTGGTTGTATCTTCATTGCAGTACCGCTGAAAGTTGAAAGCATCCGATTTTGCATCGGCCATGAAGATGTCAGAAATATGGAGCTGGAGAGCATTTTCTTTTGTTGCTGTTACTTTTCCTCTGTTCTTTAAGATGATAATGTAGCATATCTTAAGCTTGACAATTAGTTGTTGACTGGGCCGTTTTGTTGGGTCTAAATTTTATATCCAGTTGGTATCTCTCTTTGGTTTCAACTTTCAATTGATGTGCGCATTGGTTGTTGTTGCTTCAATGATTTTAATTGGGTTCATAATAAATTTTAGACTATTGTCACTTATCGTTTGATGCAAGAAGAACAGTAACAAATGTTAGTTGTTGTCGCATTTGAGCCCGTACTTTGTTGGCGAAGAAGAATTTGGAAGATATCGATGCATGATGGTTTGGTTGGTGTCTCTGCACACCATCTTTAATTCCCGCAATGTTCGTTTTAAACCTAGTTCCAAAATTAAAAATCAAAGTCATTGAGCCAACCGAAAAAGGAGAAGAAAAAAAAACAGGTTCATTGGTTTGTATTGTAAATCTAAATTCTGAGAGACCATACAGATCAAAGTGTGTGTTTTAGTTGGTGTCTCTGCGCACCATCTTTAATTCCCGCAATGTTCGTTTTAAACCTAGTTCCAATATTAAAAATCAAAGTCATTGAGCCAACCGAAAAAAGAGAAGAAAAAAACCAAGTTCATTGGTTTGTATTGTAAATCTAAATTCTGAGAGACCATACAGATCAAAGTGTGTGTTTGTTAATCGTGTTTTGCTTTGGTGATTTAAGATGATTAAAACCCAATTTTGAGTGGCACTAGGCTATGTTGGGCTGTTCTTAAAACCCCCAAAACTTTAATTTAATTTTGGAAAAGAATTAGGGAAAATAAAAAGATCCAGAATTTAAACAAAAATATGGAGGTGCGGGGAATCGAACCCCGTGCCTCTCGCATGCGAAGCGAGCGCTCTACCATATGAGCTACACCCCCGTTGTTGCTAACTAGCTGTTAAATAAATATATTATCGTTAAAGAACGTCAACAATTTCGTATGGGCATGCAAATGGCGCTCTGCCAAATGCCAGACGTGCCCAAAAGCTCACATTCCACGGCAACTCTTGAGCACTGATGTCTCTTCATTCGCCCTCCCCACTGCAACACTAAATGAAGCACTAAATACTCTGCAGAGCACAGATGCATGCAGTAAATGAAGAGTCAGTGAAAGCCACATGCTTTCTTTTATGATTTCACTTACCACAAAAACCAAAAACCCAAAAATTCAGTTTTTTGCTACATATTCTAATACAAGACATGGGTTCTTCTTAGCCACTCTTGTCATCTCCCCGGAATTCCTGGTGGACTTTGTTGCCCTCTAAATCTTGGTGTGACGGAAAGGCCGGCGATTCTGTTTCCAGCTACTCCCTTCGTGTGAAATTTCTCATGGTTTGAGTTGCTTAAAGCCCAAAGGGGATTCCTGAGAAGTTTTTGAAGAGTCTGAGAACCAAAAAAAAAAACAATCTTTCTTGGGGACTTTGTCATTTGGCGTAATTGCAAATATTTCTACATGATGAAGGCTTCTGGGTTTTGGGTTTTGGTTTTGCTGCTTGGAACAGTTCTAGTACTAGTCCTTAATGTCTCTAGCAGCAGAAATGGCAACTCTTATCCGGGTAATTATTTCTCTTTGATTTATTTGAAGTTTCACTTTTAATAGTAGCAAATAAAATGGCTTTCAAGTTTGTAGCTAATAGTGTTACTATTTTCTGATTTATATTTTGACTACTTGTGGATCTGGTGATTATGCCAATATATTTGGTTGTAAGTTGTTGATGCTTAAATTGCTAAATTTCTTTCAATTAATTGAGATATTTCTAGAATGTTCTAATTTGAATTCTGTTTCTGGAGTTGATCAATCAAAGTCCAAATCTTCATTATCTTGAATGAAACACAATGTGACATGCTGAAACTACAATCTGCCTAATGCTTTTTTTTTCTTCCAGATTTTGTCTTCAACCACACTGGTGATGGGCCAAAAAGGATAGCTATAAGTAGGAAGTTCAAGGTACATGAACTCTTCAAATGATTGTCTACGAGAAGTTTGAATCACTCAATCAGAAATCTGTGTCAAGCACTGCACAAGCTATACATCAAAATTTGCAAGTTGTTTTCTGTTTGATTAATTGCTATTTAATCAAAGTTCTTGATGATGTTGGGTTTTGTTGTCACTGGCTCTCAAACTACAGGAGAATGGCTACACTCCAAGCACACAGAAGAAGGGCAATGTCAGAAATGTGAATCTGGATGACTATCACCCCATTGATCCTTCTCCAAGTTCAAAAGCTTCCATAAAGCCGGGTCCGATTGAGCACGGCACGCCTATAATCCCATACATTCCAAAGCCTTTACCTCCTGCTCAACCCAGTCCTGGTGCCACTCCTTAGCCTCCTCATGACATGTTCCTCTATTGTGCCTGTGCATGCTAGAATCTCTATGTTAATTTCAACTTAATTAGTAGTTGTCATCATAACGAGCTTCCATGCATATATATATCATATATGTTGTGTGTATAATGTTCATGCACCAATTCAGACTTCTGTGCATGCCCTGTACTTGTTTGCGTTTTGTCATCATATGAAGTTCTTGTGTTGCGTCTTTAACAACCTAAAAATAATTTGCAGCTTCTTATGCAAGTTCACTGTTCTGTCAGATTCTTTCTTTAATGTCTATCTGAACTCAAATACATATAAAAGTGATTTAAAGTTTGATACTCTTGGTAGTTAATTAAGATTATGGTCGTCTTGGAAAAGGGTTGACATTGAGATAATACCCTTTTAGCTTACGATTAGTTTCGTTAAGTGAGAGCTTTTGGTTACTAAATACGTGTTAGGTGGCGGAGTGACGATGTTTAATGACCTAATCTAGGCCACTAGTAATCATCATCACAGAATATATAATACATATGGAGGTCCCAAACCTTTTCTCTCTCAAGCTTTTGGGGGTCCATTTGTGCTATTTTTTCTTCCTCATAACTTTCACTTTTCCCTAACTCAATTAACGGGATGATTAGTTCTCGTAATATGGTCATTAATTAAGTAATAATACTACATTTTTAATAAAAAAATTATTCAACAACTATCTTTCATTTATCATTTATTACAATTGAAAAGAAAACTCAGCCTTCGTTGTTGTCCCTACAGCCACAGTTCTCTTTTCCAGGCTTTGCGAGTGGAAAGAGAAGCATCCTTTAGTGATTAAAGCTAGGGGACCATGACAAATTATCACTTCCCCCAAGCACTGAGTATCCATAACTTTGAACGTGGGCTACCATGCTCAAGTTTTAGGAGGGATTGCCTAATCTAATCAGATTTAGTAACTTTAACATCAATTATAGTACACGTTGTGATTAATCAAGTAGGGTTTCCCAACTCTTAACCATATATAATTTATTAACGATGATTAGATTTCTGATGTTTATGTATTTCCATTTTCATGGATTGGTGTGGTGGGTGTACGTCCAAAAAAGTTGGTATGCTTAGTTGAGCGTTCTTATTTTGGGATTCTATAAGACACCCTTTTTTTCATTTTAACACCAAGCAAGAAATTCAACGATGTCTAACCAAGTGAAAGGGCCTTAACGTGCAGATCAATGATTTAGCTCTCAGGTTCGAACCCCCATCATTATTAAAATTATGTAAATTAATAGCCTTTTTTATATGCTTGTGACGGAAACTTCATATAAATTTTTTTTTATTTTTTGGTTAAGCAGAGGCCAGAGTTGATAACATCTTATTAAAAGTGTGGATATCCAATCATTGTCCATATTCATTATGATGGCATTTGTATAGAAATCTTGCAATATGGCAATATCAATGCACCATCTTTTGTCTTAATTCCTCTTTTACGTTATGTTAGAGGAGGCCATAGGAGATGCCAGATTGCAGTCCATATATAACTATGCTCTTTCCAAAATTAACACACTCGGGTGGAGCTAGCTGTAATACAATTATACCTGGTTCCTTCTTTAACCAAAACGACAGAATGAAACAGTTAATTCATTAGTACACAAAATTGAAATGCATCCAGCTCAACCGAAAACTCCAAAAAATAAAATTTTGTCTGGATATACTGCAGCTGTCTTGCATATTGTATCCGGTGAACAAAATCGGTGTCTCTAAACTTTACGAATATGTGCCTAGTTTGCGAGTAATTGCACGTATTCGGTGTGCCTAGTTTGCGAGTAATTACACGTATTCGGACTTCAAACAATAGAGACATGTAGGACCTTGAAAGCAAAGTTGTGAAAAAATTGAGGAATTGGGACAGAAGACATAGGCAGAGAGAGTGCAGTGGGGGACGGAGCATCCTAGAAAGATGCTTTCTTTCTCAAAGATTGTAGATGATAACCATAAACCGTGTAGTGTTGCTCCTCTTTATGTTGAGAAGTGGGGGCCTTCTGGGTTTTTTACTTTCTGATCTGCATATATATATATATAGGCAATAAAACAGTAATCATGCATGGGTCCTTGAGAAGCAACAGGGAGGGGAACTGGCATCCAATTTAGCTTTTGTTCTTTCATCCATTTAGGCAGGCAGGTATTTGTTTTCTCTCTTTTCTAATACAATGCTTGCTTGCCACAACTAGTATTCTATGGCTACTTGTTCATCATTATGCCTCTGCATTTATTCTTCTATTCTTCTACAATTAAAGAAAAAGATAGATGCTTTCCGGCCCAAACTAATTTACAACTCCATAATCGATGAAGATCCCAATATTAATATAGGTGTGATGGTCGTACAATATATCTAACAAGGGAAAGTATCTTTTTTTTGGAGTGCGAATAACAGTTTTCCAGATGTAAGCAAATTATAAGCATAAATTGCTTATTTGGCAAAGCTCTTTTTACTCGGTTAACATGGTTGCTTTGTTAATTAATCTCGACGAAAGAGATTAACAAGTTATACTTTTCTGCATGGAGCTGGCAAAGTATGTATATAGAGATAGATAGAATAGAAGTCATGTAATTCTGTGAAATTGAGTGCCCACGAATTAAGGACTTTCAGAAGTGGTCCTGTTTACTCCTTAAATCTTAATCATGTTTCGCATGAATGTGTGTTATATCACTGTCCGCATTATATAAGATGCTTCTCATATGCATATTAGTTTGTGGTCTCAACAATTTTTCTTTTTTAGAAACAAGCAAACACACACAAATACATGGAGTGTTGGAGAAGGGATTGAAAACAAAAAGGAGAAAAAGAAAGAATGATAGATAGGGCTAGCTAGTTCTTTGAAGAAAAGGGCCATCACAAATTGAAGAGACAAGGAACAAGGTTGAAATATATATAAATGGAATGTTGGTGGAATTGATATTTCAACCATGAACCCTAATCTCAATATCCCTCCTATATAGCAAAGACCCACTAGTGTAGTGGTTTGGAGCAATTTCTCCCCCATGAAAATTTTGGATTCGAGTCCTTGCATGTGTGTAGTGTGTGTGAGTTTAGTCCCTCTCAATAGAAAATGTCTTTAAAATAAAAAAAATAAAAAATCCCTCATATATATGGATAAGTATGAAGTCGTAGTAACGTTTCTTTAATTACGGCAGTGAAAACGGTAAACTTCCATATTGTGGGTTTAGAGTGGAAGCGAAGTCCAAGTTTGTATAGTATGAAATTCTGAGAGAAAAGCAAGGTAAGTCTGGTAAGAAAGCTCCCTCGTTTATAATAGTGTAGTTTAAGGCATTTTTAACACTAACAATGTTAGCTTTTTTAAAAAAAATCACAAAATAATACACAAAAATACCATATATGTTGACTAGCATGTAAAAAACTATGTAGTTGTTGGTGAATGGTGACTGATAATCACATCACCAAAGTTTGTTTTGTTCGGTGGGCTCATAAGTAATCATAATTAGTATATATATTAATCTTTATAAAAAAAAATTAGGGATTGGTGTGGGAGGGAGTTGGTTTGGTCTGATATCATTGCATATAAAACAAGGCAAGATTTTGAATGACTTAAGATTAACTTAAAGAGAGTTGGAGTTACTAAGCATAAAGGAGGTTGATTGTCCTTTTTCACTTTTGTAAGATTCAAAGTTAGCTAAGCTAGCCTTGTAAATCACTTTGCTAATTAGCACATTGTTTGGTGACTTTTCCTTCATAATTTCACCTTCTTTTTTAAGGAAAATACTGTAAACCCAATTTATCAATAGCTAAAATGTGGTTAAAAAAAGACAAGAAAAAAGGAGCAAGCTTATGATAACACCCACCTGGAACCCAATAGAAAGTAGAACAAAACCTTTAATGAGTGGCAAAGTGTTGAAAGCTATATATATTAGGAAATATATTAACTCAATGTGTATCTTTATCACATTTCTTAATAATTGACACGTGTATTATATAATTATAGTTAACTATTTGCTTTGTATTTGTGGAATCATGGTTATACCCATGAACACGTATCAATGGGTCGACTAGAATAATGATGATATTGAGTTAAAATGGTGAATAAAAATACTGTTTACATATTCAAGTTTTGTCATAATAATTTCGTTATTTCGTTTGGCCAAAGAAAGGCCAAAAATTCATAAATTTGAAAATAATTAATTATGTCTTCATTATTGTGCGTGTGTGTTATTTTTTTGGGTTTGAGAAGAAGATTTTATTTATAGAAATCTAGAAACTATGCAGTTTCTATGTTTGGTCAACTAAAACGCCCAATTTTTAATACCAACGTTGAAGAAAGGAATTGCGTAACGTCTCTTCGAAGATTCATATTCCTCTACATTCGTATCTCCAATTTTGTTTCCTTTTCTCCTCTTTTACGCACAGCCCTCAGGGCGTGCAAACTAAGCCCATAAACTCGCCGCCACGTGTACAAAGCCCACTAGCGCAATTCACTCACTAGTCACCATTCTCATGTGATTTACCAAAATACCCCTATTTACCATCGTACTACAAGTCAAGTCCTAACCCCGCTTCTAATTATAGTATTTTGAGTTAATTAGAAATTTAAAAATGAGCCCCATTCCCCAAACCCCACAGCTTGTACCCAATTAACCTTAAAAATAAAAATAAAAAACAAAAAAAGCGAAAAAGAAATATTTATTTAAATATGGTCTGAGGCAAAGCCCAAACACGGGTGCCTAGTACGACAGTTATGCTCCCAAATCTCGGCTAAACAACTTATTTCTCTCGCCGGTTTAGTCGTAACGGTCATATATCCCCAGAATCCAAATTCATCCGATCACTCTCTAAAAGCGCACACATAAAAAAAGCCTCCCCCAGAAACCTCTCTATCTCTCTCACTCCGCGACTTCACTTTCTCTGTTTTTGTAATTTTATTTCATTTTACGATTTCTTGTTTCCCCTCAGAAGTGAGCGCCGGTGAACTCGCAGGGGCGGTTGAAGGTTTTACTTTTGCCGGAAGATTAGGGTTTTGGAGGATGAGATTTGAATGGAATTTTGAGTTTTTGCGATGGTAGCTGCTGTTTCTACGACATTGAACCCCAAAGCCGCATCCCAAGGAGGTCGTCCCCGAACCTCTACAAGGCCTCCGCTTCTGCCCTCCGACCCCGAAAATGGCGTCGTCGTTCCTCGCCGACTCAAAGCTCGAGAGGTCACTTCTCGGTACATGTCGTCTTCTTCTTCCTCCTCTGCCTCTACTTGTTCGAATACAAGACGATGTCCATCGCCGTTGCCTTCCAGAACTGGCGTTTCTTCTGCTGCGGCGACGCCGATGCCGTCGTCTCAGTCGGTGAAGCGCTCGCAATCGGTTGAGAGGAGGAGAGCGGTCACGCCGCGCCCTAGTTCTTTGGATATGAGGATCGGGAATGGTGGCTCTGGCGGCGGCGAAATGTCTGCGGCTCAGAAGCTCTTGTTCACTTCAACGAGGAGCTTATCGGTTTCGTTTCAAGGCGAGTCGTATTCGCTCCAGGTGAGTAAAGTGAAGCCGACGCCGTCTCCGAGTACAAGGAAAGGCACGCCGGAGAGGAGGAAGGCGACGACGCCGTTTCGAGCGGATCAGAGTGAGAATTCGAAGCCGACAGAGCAGCAGCGATGGCCTGCGAGGTTAAGGCAACCGAATTGTATGACTAGGAGCTTGGATTGTACGGATGAGAGGAGGAGGATGAGTGGATCTGGCGCCAATGTGGTTAGGGCGTTACAGAATTCGATGGTGGATGATGTTGATGGGAGATTGAGGTCTAATTCGTGCAATTTAGGTTCAGTGAAAGCTACTGAGACTGTTGATGATGGCACTTCAGCTACTACACAGTCTGAACCTGTGGCTTGTTCCGATACTGATAGCGTGTCTTCTGGTAGTACTAATTCAGGACCACACGAGAGCAATGGCCATGGTGGTGCTATACAAGGGCCACGGCCTAGAGGGATAGTGGTGCCAGCGAGGTTTTGGCAAGAGACTAACAATCGATTACGCCGCCAATCAGAGTCTAAGGCTATTGGAGCTGGAGCGAGAACTATGGGCTCTCCTAAGATTGCTGAGGCAAATAGGTTATCTATTGATAATCCCGCGTCATCTCCTCGAGGTGTTGTGAATGGCAGGGGACAGTTATCCCCTATTCGTGGGACAGCTCGGCCTGCATCGCCAAGTAAGCTCAGCAGGTCATTGATGACCTCTTCGCCGATGAGGGGAGTGAGCCCTTCTCGAGTGAGGAATGGAGTGGCTGCTACTCCAAGTAGTAATTTGAGCAACACGCCCTCTATTTTAAGTTTTGCTGCTGATGTTCGAAGAGGGAAGGTTGGAGAGAATCGGATAGTTGATGCACATGTGGTGAGGCTCTTGCATAACCGGCTCTTGCAGTGGCGTTTTGTAAATGCTAGAGCTAATGCCTCCCTAGCTGCACAGAGGTCCAATGCGGAGGTATGGCTACCGGACTTAATCCTCACTCATTGTATTCAGTGTACAGCTAATTCATTTTGGTTATCACGCATGGCATAAATTTGGTTTTGTTAAATATTTTCTTCTCTCTATGAGCTTTGTTCTTGTATGGGAATCTTCGACTGCTTTTCTGCTCCTTTTCTTAATTGATCACCTTTACACTTCTCTTGACTGCAGAGTTTATTCATCATAAATTTAGGTTTCAATTCAGGTTTTGGTCACTTTATATTATGCCATGGCATCCCTGTCAGTTTTTTCATTACAACAGTGTCAATTTTTTTTCCTCAAATTCTCCGACTTGGATATTGATGTGCAAAAGGAAAATGTGGATAGCGTTGCGTATTTTGTAAAATCTTGAATTGCAACTTGGGGGCGAGATGGTGCATTGAATTTGGATGTTCATAGGAGAACAATAGGCTTTATTTAGGACCATGCTTGTGAATACATGCTAGTTTTATTCTTTTTCCCATTTTGACTGTCAACATATAACTCGTTGTTGTTCAAGCATCTCTTACTGTGCTCATGCGTGGACTTGATGTTCTGCACACTCCAGACAGCCTTTTATAAGTCTTAGAAATGGATGCTCAGATGACCTGCATAATTTATTGTCATGGACTTATCGGAGTTATGTAGACTTTGTTCCCATTTACATGTTTCTGTTATTATACTAGCCACTTGCATGTTCTATGGATGTTGGAGATGGAACTTTTATTATATAACTTCAGTTTTCAGAACGTGGGATGAAGAGCACATTTTATGTGGTTGTGGGTAGTTACCACTCATTAAAAATTCTTGGGTTAAAAAGGATTCAAAAGTATAATAAATAGTTTTTATTGCTGAAACTTTTCTGTTTGCAAACATGTTTGAAATAAACATTGAATAAGTGAGGGATGTATGATTTCAGGATTGACTGCTTCCCTTTACTTTGTTATTGGTGTTAAAATATTTCCATTCCAATAAATCAGTCCTTAACTCTAATTTTTGTTGTTTAAAATTCCTGCTTTCCATCAGAGAAGCCTCTATAATGCGTGGGTAACAAGTTCAAAACTTCGCGAATCAGTTAGAGCAAAACGGATAGAGTTACAAATGCTGAGGCAAAATTTGAAACTAACATCCATCCTCAAGGGGCAAGTAAGACCTCTCACTACATTCTGCTTCTATTTCTTGTCAATATTTGGCCTGGTTTTGCATGGATTTCATGTTCATTGTCATGTGAGTGATTTATTGAAATTCCATCTTTTGTTCTATAATTTTCACTAATTGAAGTTGTACCTGCTCCTTGAAGGTAATTTGATGCTATTTTTCATGCATTTAATTCTGATTTCACTCTTCTCAACTGAGCTTGCAACTGAAATTATTTAGAGGAATAAGTTGTCTTCATAGTCTTTTTGTACTACCCAATATCAGTCATTGTATTGAAAGTTGATCTGCAATTGCTTTACTGTGCTGCTTAAGAATGATTCTCTGATTCTCCGTTGTGAGATATTCTCTTTGTTATGTTATATGCTAGAAGGCAAGAATTGCTTTTGCAGAAAAAGGTTTCTTGGCAATGTATTTTACTAACTTCTGAGTTTAATCCTATATTTCTTGACAAGTGCAGATGATATATCTGGAAGAGTTATCACTTATGGATCGGGATTACTCTAATTCTTTGTCAGGGGCCACCGAAGCTTTAAAGGCTAGCACACTCCGCCTTCCAGTTGTTGGAGGGGCAAGGGTATGTGCCTCTCTTATACCTCTTTGTTTACCTGGTTCCTTGTATACATTGAGAGCTCATTGCCTAATAATCTGTCATTGTCTGGTTCTTCATTGCTACAGGCTGATGTCTACAATGTGAAGGACGCTATTTCTTCAGCAGTTGATGTGATGCAAGCAATGGCATCATCAATATGCTTACTGTTATCGAAGGTGACATTTGTTCTCCATTGGAATCCCTTCCCAGTTTTTTGTTTGTTGTATATCTATACCTGTCTGAGGATCTGGATAAAGGGCGGGTAGGTTGTTACCATGAGTACAAGGCTACCTTTAAAACATGGTTATTCTGGGAACTACAAATAAAGGTCATGTTTGTAGTAAGTGGTGGTAGTAGATAGATAATACGTGTGGGTTACAGAGAGAGATGGTTGACCTACTGTGGCTGTAGATACAACCGACCAAGTTTAGTATTTCAAAATTTCCTCAGTCTGCTGCCTTTTTTAGTAGAATACATAGTAGTATCAAGGACAAGTGACAATTAAGCAATCCTTTGGGAGCAAAAAGGTATTCCATAGGTTTTAATTTATAACAATGGAGTGATTTATATGTAAATGTTTTATTTCACTCCTGGTTTGGATGTGAGAACGGCAAATGATTATGTCCAGTAACAATGCTTTAACCCCTAGCTGACCAACCATTGAACTTCCTGCTTAAAGTTTTGTTTTGCCGTTGGTCTGATACCATTTGTAATTGATAGGTTGGGGATGTGAACTCTTTGGTGGCTGAACTTGCAAATGTAACTGCAAAGGAGCATGATTTGCTTGGTCAGTGCAGAGATCTATTGTCAACAGTTGCAGCCATGCAGGTAAATTAATGTTGTATTTGGTTTCAGTTTCAATACCTAACATATTTGAATTTTGTCTACGATTCTACCATGAGATTAAACTGACCCTTACACAAGTTACTCCAGAACAAATTCTGCACTGTGTGATCTGTACTGTTGATTTTGTGAAAAGGCAAAATGATAGATTTGACAGTACAATGAGACGTCATTGGTGCTGATACAGTTGTGTGTGGTTTATAATACTGCATATTGGCCATCTTTCAGATTCCTCCTGTCCTCATTTCTATCCACTTGATTTATTAAAACTATCAGATAGAAGAATATAATCCAGATTTTCAGCATTATTCCTTGTACTGAGTTTGAAACTTTTCCGATCCCAACCAATGATGAAACCTGCTTCATAATCGAAACTCCTACCTCAATTTTAATGTCTAAAGATACTAAAAAACCCTGAAATTTGGCCCAATTGTGAGAGGGGAAAGTATAATTTATCATTAAAGGAGGGGTGGAGGTTTTGAGTGGTACAACTTGTCCTCTCTCTCTCTCTCTCTCTCTCTCTCTCATAGTTTTAACTTATCTGCAAAAATTGCTTCTTAAGTTGTTTTTTTTAATGAGCAGGTGGAGGAATGTAGCCTGAGAACGCATATTTTACAAGAAAAACGTGTACCTGATAGCCTCACAGCCGAAGTGTAAAGCTTTATCGTATGACTGCCTAAACAGCTAACACCACATCAGATTCTTTTTTCCTTTTGCACAATTTTACCTTCAAATCCGTGAAGCCGAAGCGATAACAAGACACAGACTAGAATGGTTGGTTGTGACTCGTGGGTGCCTTATGAAAGAGGGGTCATAGTGCTAAAGTTGGGCCTGTGTTACGTGCATAATAGATGATAGCGGGAAATTGTGTTGTCGATATCAAATTAATTTGTATACTTTTACTTTATCCATAAGTCAAGAGAAATATGTGTGTAAATATGTCTAGGTGATGCTTCTAATTTCTTTTTCTTTGCTTAATTTAGTAGTGTTTGCAAGTTATATGTTTATATGCGGGTGGTGGTGTTGATACAAATTACAATTGCTTTCTGCTTACTTACGAATATCATGGGCTTATATGTGGGTTCCACTCCATGGTCCATTTCTATTGTCCATAAAACCGAGACCCATTTCTACCTAATTAGTTTCTTCAAAAATCTCAGCTCTCTGAATAGAACAAGATTTTATACCCTTCGTCTAATCAATAAATATATAATACCCTTTATCTTACGTGTACCTGGTTCTAATACCACTTGAGCCGAAGACCTCACTCTAACAATCTGAGTTTTGAGACTCTTGGCATCTTGGCATGATATTCCACTATTTCAAAGGCCACCATGACAGGTCTGGTTTCTGAGATTATGCCATGTTTTTTTTAAACTCAAGTGGGTGGTTGTACTGAAGAGATAAATAATATACAAATTCCTGAGGAGATAAATAAGATGCTAGAGGAGGACGCGAAAATCAGGTGGTGCCACGTGGCACGCTACAGACGAACACGAAGCTTGCACTCCCAGAGACGTGTCATGGGAGATTTCCAACATTAAAAGAGATTTTAAGTTCGAATTTCTTATTTTATTTGTTAATCGAAGTTGGAACATGTTATAGAGGAAAATGAGACGAGCTTACCCTATATAAACCATTTGTAGCATAACATATCTATATAAGAATGCAGATTATATACAAAATCCTCACTGCCGCTTTTCATCTCTTGTCATTTATCTTTTCTTTCTTTTTACCAAAAAAGAAAAAAGGCAGTGAAAAGAGAAAAGATAAACAAGTTGTAGTTCTAAGATGACACAAGTTTGTCTGCCTCTGCGTCTGTGGTATGCAAATTCAATGGGAGAGGAATAGTCGAAGTGTAGGAGTAGGACCCACAGCATCTTGAGACTTGAGAGACGCGGCGACGCGAACGGATTAGAACAAGTCTTCTTCTTCTATGTTTCAATGGATGAATTGTATATGCGTGTGTCCTTTTCCAGTGTTAGCTTTTCTATGAAAAAAGAACCACCAGAACAAATTATAAAAATAATACTAAAATAGGTGGTGATGCCGTGGAACCCACTTCCGATGGAGGAGGACTGTGTCCTCGGATGGGGCTGACGTGCACCGCACCATTTCTAGCTTTTTCTAAATCTTACAATATACGAAGAGACCTTTGAATTGGGACCCACTTTTTCCCACTTGATATCCATCCGTCTATCGACCCCCCCTTTCGGTTCCTAACTTCCTACCCTCTCCTCTCTTCTCCATATGCCTTCAATTCAATTAATTCTATATGCCTTATATTTCATGTGTCCTTCACCTTTTATTTACCTTTGTCCTTGCCTTTGTCTTGCCTCTAATAATTTCCGGGTTCTAGCCGGAGAAAGGCATAAAGTTTATGATTATGTTTATAAATTATAACAAACCCTGACTTAGTTATCACTTATCTACATTATCATTATAATTAGGAAACTATATGCATTGGCTTTTGGCCATGGGAGATTATGTGTGCACCCTAAGAAAAAATAAAGAAACTCACAATCAATTATCAATATCAGTTGGATCAGGACTTTTTATTAGCACTGCTGGGAACAGTTGGGCAGTTTCCATGCTTTAATTAAAAGATTAAGCTGAACCGGATAAGGCAATGTAGCCATTTGCATGTCGTCATTTCTGTGTTATTTTTATATCCTAATTAAGCTCATCACTAATTATATATATATATATATATATCCAACTGCATGCTCAGAAGTCAGATGCATTTTTTTCTAAATTATATATACATCATACATGCATACAAAATAAATTAAATTACATGCGTCATCAACAACGCAAGCATTTTTTCTAATATATTTTGGAAATTCATGTTGTTTATATACTTGTTCAAGCCACATGTTTTCCAAGTGGAAAAATGTCCAACAACCAACCCATTACTCATTGCAAAGAAAAGATGGTTAATGTCTCACGACTATAAAATCATAATCAAGACAATTACATAATAATTTTCGTATAACGGAATTGTCATTGTGACGACATTTCAAATCAATCACTCATTTTTATATAATAAAATTAAAACACGTCATAATGTGCCATTAAATTGAAATACCGCTATGGTGGCATCTGGACGAGAGTAAATTTATATTACAGTCTACGGCAAACCAAAGAGATGAGAAATGAAAATCAAACATATTTCCACTTGTCCTCATCATCAGCTCGAGACAGATAACGTATGCTGCTAGTAGCCGCATGTCCTCTAAACATAGAAGATGTACGGCCAGGCAACCCCATTGAAAGCTGCGTCCTTAAACGACAATTGTTACACGTCATCGTCATCATCATTATCAACAACAACTCCTCCCAACCCAAAACAAAAATAAAATAAAATATTTATAAATAAAAAAAACCAAATGCTTCGCCGGAAAATTCAACAAAATTGATCGGCTCCGATTATCATTTTACCTCGTAATACATTATTCGCTGATCACTTCTAATCTCTCTCTCTCATATATTAATTAATTTATTAATCGTACTCAGACAAAGAGGTTCAAAACCTTGCGATCCTTGAGACCCCCGCCGCGTTCAAAGCCCGTCGTTGACGTCATCACTGACTCTTCCGAACTAAACGACAACGTATCCCTTCGCCGCTTCCCCACTGCAGTACTCACACAGCTGCTGTTCCTCATTCCTCCGCCTCTTCCTCGTTCTCCCGCCGCGAGATTCGGCTTCAGAGAGAGGCCCGCATCGAACGGTTGGATTCGCTCCTCGTCGTAGTACGCGGACGGTACGGGTGGATAGTAGAGGTTTTGCAGCGTGCATGCGCCTCTACTGGACGTCTCGGAAGATTCGTGGAGGCTCGGCGTCAAAACCGCCGTCAACGACCTCAAAACTCCGCCGGACAAGACCGTCTCGACTGCGGATTGGCAAACGTGCCAGTTCCCGCTCGACAGAAGCCCCACGGCTCCGTTGACCGGGTTGACCGTACGACCGCACGCTTCGAACAGCAGAGACTGAAACAGAGCTGAGAAAAGGAAGGAAAAAAGGTAGAACGTTAATTAGTTGTTGAAATTCGATATTTATTTATTGTGTGAGAATTGTGTTTATTACCGGGGCGCCGAGGTTCGGGGACGGCGGAGATGAAGGAAAGGAGGTCGCTGCGGCCAAAGAACTTGGCGAGGAAGAGAGTGGCGTTGCCTTGGGCTTCGGGAGAGTCGATCGCCTGCAGGCACGACCTTAGTATGCACGTCTCGCTGCACCCCTTTCGGAGAACTCGGCATCCGTTGCAGCTCATCTCCACCGTCCGTTTGATCTCCCCCAAAAATTAATATTAACAGTTAACTTATCGATCACTCTCTCACTTGAAACTTGCAACAATTTTATGATGTTAAATTGGTTCGTTTAGGGTTTGTTTGTTGAGGGAGGTGGTGTTGCTCACTGGAAGGAAGCAAAAGAAGAAACTAGAGAGAGAGAGAGAGAGAGAGAGAGAGAGGGGGTGAGAGTGAGAGAGGGTCACTAGCTAGTAAATAGACCAGTGTGTTGTAATTAAGTTAAGGGGCTTTAGGCTAAACTATGGTTGAGTTTAAGCGTTTGTGGTTCTTGACGGTGGAATTGGAGTTGAAGGGACCCCACAGATGGTGGGATTGTCTTGTCGACAGGAGAAAGGGAAATATATATCTTCCAAACTCTGGGCGAGACAGAGCGGCTCCGTGTTTCCGCTGTTTGGACCTCGATCGCACCGTTAGATCGCAGGGTTTTCCCAGATTTCAACCGTTGGATCAGTTAACTTGGTTTGGTGGGTTTTTGGATGTATTGGGTTTGGGTTGGGTTGGGTTGGGTGCTAAATTGCGAACTCGGCGCAGCTTTGAAGGTAGAGTTTGAGAGACAATGCGAGTTCCAATGAGTGGACTGTCAATTGGCTGCCTATGCATGATGACTAATCTAATCTAGTCGCACCGTTTTTTATATTTTAGTCCCTCGGTTTTGGCCTCGTGACAAAAATAACAATTGTTTATTCAAATTGGAAACTTTATACAAGCAACTCCTTGGCCAACCAAAACAAAAAGGAGGCTGCTAGGTTAGGTCAGTGAAGACACAGGCAACTCCTGAGTGGTCATGGATTGGGCCTGGCTTACCCATGTTTGCAAGTTTTAGTTGGACGAGTCTTGCTCCATCCAAAATTTGTTAATGGGCTGAGCTTTGAACCGTGTTATCTGTCAGACATAATCGGAAGGGTTGGATCAATTTTACTCACGGGCCCACAAATTTCAGTTTTCTTAATTCTATTTTGCTGGGTTTTCTCCTCCACAAAAGAGCAGATTGCTGGGTCGGGTTGGGCTAGACAATCTTCTTTTGTTTTTTAAGGATACACAATCATAGTCCTAATATCTCTATGTTGTTCCGGTTGGACGTGATACAATTTGTACACTACATGTAATATAAGGAACCGTATTCAACCATGTCTTTCTCTCCATTCTTAATCTTTCTTGTTTACCATGAAAGTATGGTCAAATTTTATATTACCCTATTTGAGTTCACAATTCACTCAAAAATTCCGTCAAAATCGCTAACGTGACTAGTATATTGTAGAAAATTAAAGGGATAATGAAAAAGTCACGTCATCAATTTGAACTTACTTATTCACGGATTGGACTATATAAAGCAAAGTGATACGGAAAACATTGATGAACAACCGTAAGTCAATGTGGAAGTTGATCATACGTTCATGGCCAATAGTTTGATTAAGCCCCCTTTATATTCTATGTTTTGTTTTCATTGCGGCAGACAGTAATGCTTGTAGCGGTCCTAATTTACCTTAGTAGACTACAACTACCACAATGGCATATCCTATCTTGTTTAGTTAGTGATTACATGTAAGAAAGAAGAAAACGAAAAAAAGGATTTTAACTTTTGGTCATTTGCCATAACTCATTGTATATTCCGAATTTCTTTGCTTTCGATGTCACTAGCTCTATATGCTAGAAATTAGAATTACCTGGTGAAATACACCTCACCCACATATATATATATAGAGAGAGAGAGATAGAGAGAGAGAGAGATGGAATTAAATAAAAATAGATTAGATTGTTGGCGGAGGTTCATAAGTGGGGAAGCATTTTTGGTGGTGGCTGTAGAAGCCATGTGTCATCTGAAAAATGAAAGATCCATCTAATTGCAGCCAATGTGAGTTGGGCAACAAGAAGAAGAGACTTTCTCAACTATGCTGACAAGGTCACAACCCACTACATCAGTGGTCCAGCCCAAAAGTTAAAAAAAATATGTGCAAGGTAGCAATGCTAGTTGTTTTCTCACAACCATAGTCTAAAATATCGATGATATTGAAAATATCGGTAATTCAAAAATATAGAAATTTCGATGGAAACATCGGGATATTATCGATAAAAATTGAATAAAAACTATGAAAATTGTAAGAAAAACTTGGAAATTTTTATTGAAACTTTGGAGAATGTTTATTTAGTCAATTATCTATTAGTTTATCAAAAAAAATTAGAAAGAAATGCATTACATGATGAATTTAACTGATTTAAGTTGATTATACAGCGAGCTGGCAAATACTGTGAGTGTAGAAAATATGTAGTAATTAATGAAAAAAAGATTAAACACACCATAATCATTTATATATAATGATTTACTACAATATTTTACATTATACATTGCATGGTAAGATACATGAGTGACTTAGTACCACATAGAGTTCATATGAGGTTCAAATTTTTCACTATCTTCATCATCTTTATGTGTAGAGTAAGTGTATTGTGAAGAATATTCATCAAATGATAAATCCCAAAATAGTTTTGCATATAATTGTTAACATGCCACTCATATAAATATAAATATTTTAGCATATTATCACTAAAACATAAGTGATATATGGTGATTAAGATGTTGGAAGAGTAAAATGGGAGGGATTCAAATCCCTTTTGTGTTTTTTTTTCCTCCCTTTTTTCCCTTTTTTTTTCCCTTTTTTTTCTCCTTTACATCGATATTTTTCGATATTATCGTCGATATTTATATGATATGTACATGGATATGTTCCGAAATATCCGTGATTCGAAAAAACTGAAATATCCTCGATATTTCGTCGATATTATCGATATTTCAGACTGCTCACAACTCGGTAATTTTAGGTGTCACAGTAACACCACTCGAAAGAAACGGAGCCAGGTCAAGGGGGTGTTGAGATATTTGTTTGGTGCCTACCAAACAAGAACGCCGTCCAAAAAGTCTACCCGTACCGTACAGTCATCAAATAATACAAAGAACTTGCCCGAAGAAGCTTCTTGGAAGAATGGATGGTTTGTCAATTTGAATGTAGTTTAGGTACAAACTGGGCTAATTTTCTTCCCGGAAATTTGACCCAACACATCATATCATATGACACCCAATACGTTTAATAATTACCATAGGCATGCATGAGATGTCGGTCATCGGCCAATGTATGAATACAAAATACGTATTTAAAGATAAATCGAAGTTATCAAGCCAAAATACAAAATATACTTAGTTAAGAAAACGCATTATTGATTAGGTAGGCATAGTTTCGTTGTTATATTAAGATGGACTCAAATGTGGGCTGCTACGAGCTAGCAAGGGGGTCTACTTGGCTTTAGCTGCCTAGTTGGTTAGCCGACCAACTAATAAATCATCTGCCAATAGATCTAGTAGCCTTTAGCTACAGATTTTAAATCAAATAAAAGTCTTCTCTTGTGATGAAGTGGACATGTATTAATAGGAAAAATTAAATTAGACTAGACTAGACTTATTGCATATGAAATATAGGCACGTTGCTAGTCTGATCTAATCCTCCCTGTCGTACAGTACAGAAACCATGGTGTTGTGGGGAAGAAGAAGAAGATAAGAGCCACAAGAGTTTGGGGGATCTAGAAGAAGTGGGGTCTGGTGATAGAGCAATATGAACTTTCATAATTTGGTGCATTTTTCCTAAACAAAACAAAGTTTTAATTATTAATTTGTATTGGCAAATGTTAAGAAGTGGGATATATAGCGCGAAAACAAACAAGTGAACAAGACTTCGCAAATTGCAACCCCACGCGGTTTACACTAATTTCCAAGTCTAGTTATAGTTGACCGAGTACTTGTGAATTAGTTATTATGTTGGAAAATGAAGATTGAAAGTACACGCAAATGCTACTTGTCGTATCGATATTCTTCTGGAGCTTCCTCCCTCCCCTGTTTGTTGATTTGCCTAGAGGCTTCCCCTTCCCTTTGCTTACAAGGATTTGGCCTAATCTAGAAGAATATTGAAGGCTCTTTTTCTTCTCTTTTAGCTGTTGACTAGTTCGCTTTTAGAAATGAAAGTCAAAGAGGCATTCGCCATTCATGAATGATGATAATGAGCCAGATCCCGCCATACCCAGAGGAGAGGAACTGAAATGAATAATAATATAATATAGCCCCTAGGCCCCTAGGCTCTCAGCCCCAGAAGAATGTGGCCAAGTTGCTCACTTGCAATTTGCGGTTACAACATGAAAACAAACAATCATTCCAATCCCACCTGCCTAACTAACCTATGGCAAATTTTATATTACACATGGTATGGGTAAACGCCTCACGCCATTGCATTTGATGGCGGTGGTCGTGGCAGTTTAGGTGGCTTTTTTTAACCATAACAGGTGGCATCCATATCTGTTCCAACGCGAACACCACCAAAACTATCTTCTTTCTTATCCGATCCACCACACTTCCTTCCTCGCTAAACAAAACATCGCCCATTCCCCTCTCCCTCTCCTCTCTCCTTGACGACTTTGATCTCATCCATCCTTATCACTCGCCACCTTCCCACATCATTATTATTATTAATTACAAATTTTACATAAATTCAAAAAAGAAATTAGGAAAATTAGCCGACATGTGAATCACATGGACTGTAGCTGAATAGCGAGCACTATCATTTAGCTCACTATACCAGTGTAGTCACTCTGTGTGTGTAATATTTTTACAGTTAAAAACCGTCACATAAACACGCTCTCTGCCCCTCTCTCTCTCTCTCTCTGCTTTTCAAATGTCACCATAACATAACATGCGCAAGTGGTGGCCTCTGCCACCCAACTCACGCCGACTCGGATGGACTCGGTTTTGCCAACTCATCATGACGATCCCAATTCCTTAAAAAATAAACTTATCATGAAGGAAAATATATTGCGAGAAATGAATGGGAATTGAATTAATGTTGAGGACAAATTGTTTGGGAGAAAAAATGAATTGAATTTCCAAATTTCGAATACTAGTTCAACAGCTTGTTTATACAAGGATATCAAAAAATGAACATATTTCAAACCCAGAAAGAAAAATTAAAGAAATACACGCTAGAATTAATTCCAATATTAATGCCTAAAGAAACTCCTCATCAGAGTCGGAGTCTCTTCTAATTTTGGGAAATCTCCTGTTTGGGCTTCATGATCGTCAATATCCTGGGCTTCTTCGCCGGGTGAGGGCTCTCCACCTCGTCTTCACCGCACAAGAAGAAATCGGGCAGCGCGGGCATGTTCAGGTCAAAGGTCTCGCGGTGGCCGTGGCTCACCGCCTGGTGGGAAGTGGACCCCACTCCCTCCGAGGAAGTCACTGCGCTCGTTGTTGTGGCCGGCGCTGTGGCTGTGGAGGCGCCCACGCCGCCTTCGTAGTGGCAGCGCTTGTGCCCGCCCAAGGCCTGGCCGGTGGGAAAGGACTTGTGGCAGATGGAGCACTCGTGGGTCCTGCCGGAAGCGGTTACAGTGGTGGTGCCCGAAGTGGTGGTGTTTGATGACGTGGAAGGGCCTTCGGCGGCGGATCCAGCGGCGCCTTTTCTGTGGCTGGCCTTGTGCCCTCCGAGGGCTTGGTAAGAAGGGAAGGCCTTGTTGCAAACAGAGCACTTGTAGCTCAGCTTCGCGGGCTGTGCTGAAATGGACGGCTCCTGATGTGAGGCGTTAGAAGGGGACTGGGTGATCATGTGGTGTGAGGCGGCGGAGTTTGTTGCCGTAGTGGCGGTTGCGGTGGTGGCGGCAGAGGTGCTTCCAGAACCGCCTCGAGCGAGCATGATGAGGCAGATAGCGAGGTACTCCTCCTCGGCGGAAGGGCCGTCTAGGCGTGGACGCTTGGAACGCTTGCGTTTCGTCCAGGGCTCGACATAGTTGATTTTACTGGCGGCCTCTTCGAAGCGGAAAGGAGAGGCTCCTGCGGCTGTTGGAGAGTTGAGAGCTTGGAGAGCCATGGGATGAGCAATTGAGTGTTTGCTTGTGGTGTTGGCTAACTGGAGGAGGTTCAAAATATTTGAGAAACTTGAAAGAGAGTTTGTTTTGGTTTGGTACGAGAGAGAGAGAGAGAGAGAAAGAGAGAGAGAGTGTGTTAATGGAAATGAGATTTGAAAGTCTGGAGTTGAGTGGGAGTGAGAATGAGGGAAAGGGGTTTATAAAGGGCCGATGAGGAGAGCGAAGTTGCGTGACAAGTGGTAGGAAAGTAGTAGTGTGTGGACCAAGTGTCTGCATATTCAATTCTTATTTATTTTATTTGGTAAAATGAAAAAGAGACTTGAGGGATACGAAATTACCACGTTTGTTTAACTTTGGAGAGATGGAGTTTTCTTGCTTGGTGGCCAAGGAGGACTGAAGTCGGTCAAAGAGTGGAATAACTACTGGTGCCTCCATGTGGGCCCACAAATGGGCATGGACGTTTTTAACTTTTTAACTACAAAGACTGAGCGGGCCCTCTTTCCAAAGACGCTTTCAAAGTCAATAGATATGCACACCCCTTCGGAAATTCCACACAGACGCGGTCCGGTCCACCTCAATTTACCAATCAAACGGCGTCGTCTCGTGTTTGCGACTTTTCCTTGTGCCTTGGATCTGGACCGACCTTTAATCACACGCTGGCTGTACAGTTTGGGGAGAGTTTGTTGTCCAGTTAGGGTTGGCAACTTTTAAATAACAAAACTCAATCAAATCAAACCCCACACACACACACACACCGTCACAAGTCCCGACTTAATTTGGAGTGATTAAGGGCCTAATCACATGGGTTGGTGGTGGAGACTAACTGTGCTTAACGAGTGGTGGACAGGGCTTGCGGGGTCTTTTTGTGCAGCCTAATTTTAGGCACACCATTTGCGAGTCTTTGCCCTTAATTGGGTTCCCCAATCAGATTACCATAAAATATCCCAAATCACACTACTTAATTTAGCTTCTGATTTTGAACACCACCCGTTACGCTCTCTTATCACACAAACAGGAGATAATTACAAACATAATTGAATATTTCCCATCACAAAATCCACTCGTTTTACCTGATGTGCACACGTTTTTGCACCCATAATCTCCTTAACCACTCGGAATTAAACAACTCTGTTTGCACAACACGCGTACTTCTAGAAAGACCCAGTGATTAGGAGTTCAGTACCACGTCAGCGTGTGATTAAGCACTGTTGTTCAATTTGTTTTGTGTTTCTCTGCTCTTATCTGTTGTTTGACTCTTCTCCATTCAGAAAAGAAGGCTTTTGTTGCTAGAAAGTAACACGGAACATATGCGAAGCATCTGGGTTAGTGACACGTGCACCACCGACTCATTGTTTATATGCTGACATGCTGCTTCTATTCTATCTTCACTAATAAGATATTTTTAAAAACTAATTTTAACCCCCCACCCCACATAATCAACACAAGTTTAAATTTTTAATATCGTGCGTTAATTACATTATCATTTGTAAATTATAACAAACATGCACAGAGATATTTTTGAATGAGATGAGAGTGTAAAAGTTAAACATAAAAAAGTGTGGCTTTTGTTCCTTGAAAGAAATGGATGCCTTATCCCCTAAGAATTTTACGTGGACGTGTCTAGGATTCAAAACCCACACTCCACCTCAGTTCTAAAGGACAAGGAGCTGCCATATGGCCTAAAGCCAAAAGCCCCATTGCTGCCTTTTGGCTTTTGCCCACTGAAATTAAGAAACCACACTCCGCTGTACTGAGCCCTACCCTTTTGAGTTTATCTACATTTTGCAGTATTTAATTTCTAAATATCAACGGCTCTAGCTCAATGAAAGAGAGTATTGACTTGTAGGCTAGAAGTTTTATATTCGAATATTCACGACATCGTAATTGTGTATGTTTGTGTGAGAAATTTTTCTCTCCAGTAGTTTAGACTATCGCTTGTACTCAAACAAAATAAATTTAGAAACTTTTGATGCATGATTTGCTTTTTGGCTAAGAAGAAGAAAAGGGACATGAGAAAGCAACGAAGGCAGCGATTGAAATTGGAATGTTGGTAGGCTACCATCATGTAGCATGTACGCATACAGTGACGCCCAAAAAAGTAGATGCCATTAGCATTTAGCAACTACTTAAGAATATTATTAATCCTTTCCTTATTTACAAATTTATAAATAAACCCAATCCTAGACATGTATTTATAAAAAAATTCAAGCACTATTTAAACATAGAAACACACCCAAAATCAACCCAAAAGTCAACTTTTTGGGTGTGTTTATAAATGGGTTTTGAGTATGTGTAATGATGGGTTTTGGGTGTGTTTATATGTTTAAATAGTGTTTGGGTTTTTTTTATAATTTCAACCCCCATTTTTGGTGTTTTAGTGAAACTCCCTTTTTTATTTTCTAAGCCAGATAAGAAGATGAACAAGTGGTAGACTGAGCTAGGCATGATGAAATGCAAGAGAAGTGTAGAGTGAATGGGTAGAACTCGCAAGGTAAAAAAGGTCGGCACGTAGTGTGAAGTCATTGCTTACCTTAGATGTCGGTTAGTTGATCACGCATCCGAAAGCGGGTGCTAATTCTCTAATTAATCAGCCATCCATATAGAACACACACGACTTTTTAATTGTTCAAATGAGAAAAACAAGTGATTTTGAAGCAGCCCCAAAGATACTTCCCCCTAATAATAAGAAAGCTAAATGCAAAATGAAAAACATGTGACTTTATTTTTTATTTTTGACCTACGTCTCTGTTTGCAATTATTTAAAGAAGCAAATGGATAAATAAATAAGTGAAAATAATAGGGTGAGAAAAGTCTTGGTGTGGTTGGACTTGGATTGGAAGTTTGTGACACTGGGTTTACATTTGGAAGAAGTTAGGAAGGGGGGGCCGTTTTGGAAATGTTGACTGTGTTTAGATTGAGAGAGGCGATGTTGGTAAATTGTACTGTTGCAAAGGCGGCATACATTGGACAATACTTGCTTGACGTCAGTGGGGGCCAACTGGGTAGTTACCTGGTGGGTGACCTCGGCCAAAGTTGCAAAATTGCAAAATTGCAATGTTGTTGTGTTTTACAATTTAGTCCAAACTTTGCTGATGTTGGTTCTGAATAATAAACTCACCTATTGGGTTGATCAATTTTGTGTGTGAAAGAAACCCAGTTGTCATAAGCCCAACCCAAGGCCCATGTAATTGAAATTTCAAGCTCCTATAACAGAACAATCAAACATTGGTACGGTGGGTAGATAGAAAGAATGACTAAATCTAAACATCGGTACTGTCAAGTTTTTCAAGTTCCATCCAATTTGCGTTAAGTTTGAGCACAATGTATGATTACCCATTGTTTTTTTAATCTACAATACTAACACTTCACGTCACACATTATGCGTGAAGTAGGATAATTTTAGTAACGATGTCTCACGTAACAAAAGAAAAAAGAGAGCATGATTTTAGCGTGTGAAACATGCAACAACCCAAAAATCCAACTTCAACATAAAATGAAATATACATCAACATTAACATAACCTTAGAATATCTTCTTATTGTGACACCTTAACTTTCTCCATCACAACCAACACTCAACAATCTAAAAAAATAATATTAAAAACAGCAGCATGACATCGGTCCAAAGAGATAGAACCCAAAAAAAAAAAAAAAGGTTAAGAAAAGTGGTTGTAAATGTGGCTCCTCTCTTTCCAGCTCACAGATTCGAAGCAAAACATGGTAATGGGTATGCCTTTCCCACCGCCCACCTCATTGGCTGCTAACAATCGCACACTTATTAGCTAGCCTCCGTTAGACTTGGATTCTTTTTTATCCCTTCAAAATTAAATTCACAAGAAAAAGGAAGATGAAAATGAAAATGAAAATGAAGAAAACAACAGTACCATTTTAATTATCTGACTTATAGTTCCACTTATACATGGTTGGGTTGGTGGATCGCCAAGTTGAACTAGTAGGACCAAAATGCCCATCTGATATGACTGACCATTTACGTCAATTTTGCGATTTTCAGTTTCCATAATTTTGGTTTGGCAGAGAGAGAGAGAGAGGAGAGAGAGAGAGAGAGAGAGAGTCTCAGTGTGACTCTCAGTGGGTGGCTTTGTAAAGTGGAGGAGTGGCCGCCCATGTTATGTTATTATGATCCCACAAAGCACCTCTTTTCGTTTCTCCTCAAATTCCTTCGCTTTCTCACCCGCCGTCACCTCTCGCAGTCCCGCAGCTTCGTTTAACAAGTCCCCTTCCTCTGCCGCGCCGTCCTTCATTCGCTTCCCAAATTACCGATCTGCCCTCCCTCCCCCGCGCTCCTCCGGTAAAGCTCTAAACCCTGTAAAATCCTCACCCTTGATTCTGTTCATTAATAATTGATCTTTTTCCTTTTGTGATGTAGATCTCTAACATTTAAAACGTCGTAATTGGCAATGAAGAAATACAAATGTCTTTTTATTCCTTCTGTGAAATAAAATCCTCGAAAAGTTTTGAGCAGTGGGCAATTTGGTCAATAATGATTTTACGCGGTTGGTGGGAGGGTATTTTTATTATTCTCATATAAAACAAAAAACAACAGTGCATTAGTGACTATAACTTCTGAGCCGCCCCCTTTCCGTTGTGTGTGGTTTAGTGAGTAAGAGTAAATCAGTGCAAGTTCGAGCAATGGCTGCGGAAGATGGTAAGGACCCTCGTCTTGCTAGAATTTCATCTGCTATCAGAGTCATACCGGACTTCCCCAAGCCAGGTACATGCTGCTTATTGTTCAATTTTTGCATTGATTTTCAACATCTTTGTTTTTGTTTTCTGATAAGTATGTACACCTGTCTATCCTTTGGTGGGTTTGATCTTTTTTGGGATTTGAACTTGCTATTGGTCCAATTTTTCATCTGGGTACTGGGTGATTTTGGCTTTTACTTGATCGCTGTTCTTGAATGGAGGCTTCTTTGAGTTTAAGAACCCGGGTGAGTTATGCTTAACTGAGCCTTTTTATGGCAGGGATTTTGTTCCAAGATATAACAACGTTGCTTCTCGATACCAAGGCTTTCAAGGATACCATTGATTTGTTTGTTGAGAGGTACAAAGACAAAGAAATCTCTGTTGTTGCAGGTAATTCAAAACGTACTCTTTCACTATGGCTAGTTTATATGATTTTTTATTTCATTTTTAGAAAATTTAGTTGGGTTTGAAATGAAACCATATCCAAAGCCCAAGTCTTTAGCATTCTGGCATGGGAGTTGTCCCAAAATCTTAGTTTAGGCGGTTCTTTCTCTTTCAGTGGCTGTTTATTTTATGTATATACCGAATGCTGGTTGATGTTTATGATCTGAAGTTCTGTTGATGACATAATGCAGGTATTGAAGCTAGAGGCTTTATATTTGGCCCTCCTATTGCATTGGCCATTGGGGCAAAATTTGTGCCTATGAGAAAACCGAATAAGTTGCCCGGTAACAGTTGACACCTTTTCCCTTTTCATTCTCCACTTAAACTGCATAAATTTATGAGCTTTTCGAAGTTTCTCCATAGGAGGAATCCTTGATTAGTTATTGGGACAACAGGATAATTTAATTTTCACTGTAGCTCATTAAATCATCTCTGTCAATGTATTTTACAATATAAATGTTATTTAACTCACAGGCTGGCTTAATCATTTATAAATCTTACGTAACTGATCCAGTTACCGTATTTTTTATAAAAGAATTATTTATTTATTTAAAATGTTTAAAGCCATATGTTGGAGATAGTGCTATTGCCAGTTCTGTTGAGAAATGAGTAACAGGAAATGAGTGGTTATAGTAATTCTGCATCACTCTTGAAGTAATCTTCTCAGTAGGAAATTGTAGAAAGGAGTGAAAGTTCACCTGATAACAAATACATAGACGCCAAAACTAGGTTATTCTTGGTCTGAAAATAATGCAACAAATAAATCTCAAGAGCTGGGTTAGATATCTTTATTCCATCAGAAAGATTGCTTCTTTGCATGCGTAAGTATTGATATTGTAGCTTGTGGCCTTTCTTAACTGCCATTTGTGATACAAAGCATAAACAGTATGATTCTTAATGTGCTAAGTTTATTTTACATTTTATTTACACAGCAAATATCTGGTGCTTTCAATAAATATAGTTCCCAAGATGTCTTATAATTCTCGTGTTTTGATGGTTCTGCAGGAAAGGTTATTTCTGAAGAGTACTCTTTGGAGTATGGAACAGATATAATGGAGATGCACGTGGGAGCTGTAGAAGCGGGGAGAGCGTGCCTTGATCATAGATGACCTCATTGCAACAGGGGGAACCTTGGGTGCTGCACTCAGGCTTCTTGGTAGTATATCAAAACATAAATTTATGTTTAAGTGTTTCTGGACAGAATAATGTTTTCTGTTTTTTTTTTCAAATTTGTTCCCATTTTGGCCGGGAATCCAGATGACCCTTCTTGCTTGCAAGACTCACATTTTTGGTTTGTTGTTGCAGAGCGTGTTGGAGTGCATGTGGTTGAGTGTGCCTGTGTGATTGAATTGCCAGGGCTAAAGGTATGTATGACATTGCAAATATGGTGCCAGAAACACCCTTAGATTAGTTGTAGGCTAATTTGATGCTTCCCTACTATCGAGCATTTAGTTGCAGACGAATTAATAATTATATATGAAGCAGAAGATTTTAAAGATAAAATATTTTTCGCTTGCATAGTTATTGAAACGTCACGTTCTTCTGGCTATTGTCTTGCACAATGTAGAGTCTAGAAATCTTAACCTGGATATATATATTTCTTATTATGTTTAGTTTTTTCATTAAAGCATTCCTGATGTACTTTTTACGGTGGCTTGTTTCAGGGACGGGAGCGATTGGGGGACAAACCATTATTTGTTCTAGTTAATGGAGACGCATGAGCATGGTTCTGTTGTCGGACGTAAATTTCTTTGTCGTTTGAGTTCCTGGTTTTTGGAGCTGCAGATTTCAAAAACAACAACTTTATTGTTAGCAGGGGCTTATGGTTGTTGATTATGAAGTGTTTGTTTACATTCGATGATTGAAGAGATGAAAAGAAACTTGGAAGATGTATGTTATATGTACTAAGAAGAAATAATTTGTTGCTTTTCTATTTTCCCTTATGATTTGAACATCAAGTCACCAAAGTAAAATGATCTCAATTATCTCTCATCTCACCCCCTCCATTCTTCCCAAATGCTCTCTGTTTTTTTTTGTTTTTTATTTATTTATTCTTTTGGCCTGAGTTTTCATGTTCTTAATGTACATTAGCAATGCAAATTAAATTGGGCAAATCATAAAATAGGGGATATAAAGACCAAGAAACTTCATAGATGAAACAAAGATTAAGGCGTTCGACCCAAAAGAATAACACGAAGATTAGGGCACTCTTCTGCTGCATTTATATCATAATTTAATGATGTACAACACTACGCAGTTTGATGTTTGGAAAAACTGAAGCCACCTCATGTGTCTTCGTTTTTGGTCTGACTGAACACCTCATGTGTTTAATTTAGGTATATAATTTGTATGATGTATAATAGTCAACCATCCCCACGTTAGAATATTGTTTTTCCTGACAGACCAAGAAATTGGAACTGGTCCCTTCGTTCCCTTTTAAATTTTAAATTTTAATTATACAAACCAATGAAAATATTTCTTGCTTTCCATGAAACAATATTTTTAATGTTTGGTACTGATAAGAAGAGTCCCGATCTCTTTGACTACAGGGGTCCAAGAGATTTGTGGTCATTCACCGTTAGATGTAAATTTAATTGTTCACTCACTCTTGCACTTTTTTTAAGAAATTTTTTTGAACCGTTGGATGGTGACCACAATCTCTTGGACTCTTGTGGTCCAAGAGATCATGGCTAACTTTTGAGAGTATGGTTGGCCAAAATTTAATACTTTTAAAAGGAAAAAGTTTGATTCCTTAAAATTGAGGAGGAGTATTTTCTCTTTTAATTATCGCGACATATTTCACTTTTTCTTTAACCAAAAGCATAAACAATATTTCGAACAAAAATAAAATTAAAAGCAAAACAAATTCAGGAGAGAAAATAGTGGCTATCTTCTCTCCTCGTAGACTCCTAGTCAGATTTGTCGACTCCAAAATGGCTAATTGGATGGTAGAAGGTATTTTTCAGCAAAATGTGGAGAAGCATCTCCAACGGCAATTTTTATATAAGTGGCGTGAATGAAAATTTTAGCACTGCAACCAACCAAATGTTTTTTTTAATATATAATTGCCGAGTAACCACTGCCTTCATAATTAAGCATTCTGTTTTCATTTTAGTCCTTTCATTTGTGTTGGGTCTTTAGGTTAAAAAGAAAACATACATATATAATTGAAGTGGCAAAGTTTATAGCTGTTGCAAACTTAAGTTTCGTAAAGGAACCGAAGCAGCTATTAACACCAAAGTACCATTATGTATGACAAAATGTACCTTAATTATGGAAAGCTTTGAAATATGGATTGGAGATGCTTTAAGGATCGATTACGGTATAACTAAGCTGTTAGAGATGCTCTAAAGAGTTCAATATTTTTCATAGGTATATCATCCATAATTCTACCAATACATTTTAAAATATGAGCAAGTCCTTGGCAAAAAACAAAGGAGAAAGTCAATAAAGTCTTTGACTTCAAAGTGTTATATAATATGGGAAAAGTTATGACAAACATAATTAAGAATCTTTTAATTTAGAATAATTATTTCATCTTACTTGTGTTAAGTTAGGTGTTGGGTTTGTGTCTACATTAATTTTTGTTCAAGTCTCAGGTCTCTTAACTCTCTATTATGCAAAGGGGGTCTAATGCTAATTATCTGATTTGTGAAGTGATAATCAAAATATAAAAGCTAAAGCTAGTTTGACATTACAATCTCAAGAACTTCTGTTATGACTTTCAATTTTGTCAACCCGACAGTAAACGCTTACTTTTCATATGTGAATAAGACGTTTAGTTTGAATAAATTATTTTTGTTTCTTTTAGTAAAAGGATTGGAGAGACAAAGACAAAACGACATAAGTGAAGTACTTGTGTATATATCCGAGTATTTTTGTTTTGGACTGACATGATTGATCTGAAATTTGGCATATGATTACTGTCTTATTAGCTGCACTGTGGAGGATGTTAAAGCTTTTGCTAAAAAGATTTCCAGCAAACAAGTTCATACATACTTTTCGAGAAGCGAATGAAGCTGCTCATATAGGGTAGCACAATATGCTTTGCATATAGATGATATAGTTTGTCTTGGACAGAGTTGCCCTTGCGTACGTTGGTGTAGGACATCATTTTGGAACATTTAGTGGATCGGGGTCAAGTTTTACATTCCCTTGTTGTATTAGTTTGCTTAGTTAAATGAAGTTTTCCCTTATACCGTCGAGATTATCTTTTAAAAAAAATAAAATTGGCATATGATATGATGACATGATGTTTATAAACAATTGATAACAGAACATTAAAAATCCCATACTTCTGGCAAAATTGAGATCGCATAAAAAAATGATGGGTTATTTGCTGAGTTGCACTTCTTAGTTAATTTGGTTAGTACATCTATGCTGTGCTGCAACGTGGTGTTCAATATTGGTTTAGGGCCTTTTTTCGTCTTTCAAACCCTATTATACACGTCGCAGGATCCGATATATAGACAGTATCCACCTTTGATTGATCTTATATATAAAAAAGATGTGGATATATAGGCTACGTATGAAAAATATATAATGGTACTTAGGGCTGTAAATCGGTTCGATGCAGTTTGAGTTTGTATTGGATTTGACTTGTTTAAGCTCGTAATAGAAACAAGTTAAGTTAAGCTAAGTTTGAATTTAGCTATGTTTAGCTCCTAAAGCTCGTGAGTAGCTCGTTTATGAGAAATTTGCTTTGAAGTGACCCATCTTTTGAAAAATAAATTTAAATTAATTCTATTTTAAACCAAAAATTCAGGGCATATTTACGTATCAGTAATGGAGAAACTAAGGAATCAAAGAATTTAGGAATCGGAGAACTACTGAATCAGTATGGGAAGAATCATTCCCATTAAGCTGTTTACTAAACATATGGAATTAGCAATGGAATGAGATTGATTCCCATTGTTATTGTTTATTAATTTGCATGAATCAGAATCTAAATTAATTTTAGAATTATGATAAAGTGATAAGGGTATTTTTGGAAGTTATTAAGAGAAAACAGGAATGAGAATCGTATCGACTACTCCCCCATGAATAATTCTACTCTTACCACATTTGTATACCACATTCTCATACCACCTTATGTGGCAGATGAGGTGGACAACACATCAATTAAAATTAATTTAAAGTTTTCTTATCTTTTATGATTTATTGACACTTTTTAATTGATGTGATTGTCCACTTCATCTGCCGCATAAGGTGGTATGAAAATGTGAGATATAAATGTGGTAAGTGTAGCATTACTCCTCCCCCATAGTTGATCTGATTCCTGATTTTGAGGGAATGTGATTACAGATTTTGAGGTGGGGCCTACTTATTTTTTCATTTCTGATTGCAAGTAAATGGAGGAGAATTTAGGAATGGAAATCATTCCATTTCCTTCTATACCCATTACTGATATGTAAACATGCCCTCAAAGTAATGCGTTTATTTTATTCTCTTCAAGTTTATATGGTGATATTTTACACCCGTATTTCTTCTCCTCAATTTAAACAAACAGAGGGAAAATAATTTCTCCAAAAGCATATGTCCGTAACAGTTCGACCAAGCAAAAATCTTTTAATCCCCTATGCATGTTTTCAATGTTATTATTCCCTCGCAACAACAAAAATAAAAAATAAACAAATATTGGTGTTGAAGAGTCACGTGGCTCAAGCTTAACACAAAACCATCGAAACTGGAAAAAGAATGAATTGGCCTTTCCCGTATTTAATTAGTTTAATTTGGTGGTTGGTTGGTTTATACATATAATATATATATACACACACACATAAAAGAGAAGGATATAGTTGTCATTCTTTGCATTTGTTAATGTGGGAGGAAAGGGTACGCAGAAGAAAGACCAGAAACAAATTGCAAACCCTTAACTTAACCCTTCAAATCGTGCGAGGAGACGAATGAATGAATGCATTGAGAGAGAAGACAGAGTTTTATTTTTCTGTGATTAAGGAATAAAATCAGATGTTTAGGGAGTTCCATTTTGTCTGTATAGATTTTATTCCCCGCCAAACAATTTTTAGGGTTTTATTTGTTTCTTCAAAGGTCGTGCAATGGCCGGTGCAATTTTCCAAACAACAATGAAGACCTTATCGAACTTTCGTCCCAACAGATGTGTTCATTAGAATATTGCAAAAAATGGTCTCTTTCTGACGCGTGGGACTTTGGAACTCAAGCGCAAGACTCGGCTTCAAAGCCTAGTGAGAGACAGTTGGGTACGTGTTCACTGTTCATACCCTCAAAACCCTTATTGAGTTTTGAGGGCTTGCATTTGGCTGCTTATTCGAATCTTATCGGTTTATGAAGTAAAACTTTATGTCGACATAACAAAAGAGGAACAACCATCTGTTCTGTACTGTATTTTTATATCATATTTGTCATGTGTCGACTAATTCTCTACTCATTTGTTTTCATAAGTCTTATCTTTATGAATACAAAATTAGGACTTAGTATGATAATCGGGTCACGTTTTCTTACCGGACTTATTTTCTGAGATACATTTTTCTGTTGTTAGACTAAAGCTTAAACCATGCATTTAGATAAGACAAGAATCGATATGATCAATAATGTAGGTTATAATATGATCACCATTCGTGTATGAAATAGCCTTCACTCCCATTATTGCTATACATGAAATTGTCAAGTATTCCATTAGGTTCCCCTTGAGTATGACTGAGCAGGGTTAAGAGCAAAGGGCAACTAAACCATGTGGGATGTTTGCTTCGTCTTACCCCGTAAGAAAAAATTCATGTATCCGCCACTACATGAGTTTTATTAGTGTTACATGAGCAACGGTTAAACTAAGCTCTTGAAACAGCCTACCAGCTTCGAAACTTCGACGGCTGTGACGAATGTCCATAGCTGTAAATAGAGCAGAGTGGCAAAAACATATGATGCTTGACTTTTTGAAGTGCATAGGATATGGGAGAGATTGATGATGAGTTGTAAACAGATATTAACTTTACAGATTGTTATATTAATGGGGTTGATGACGGTAGATATATACTGTGTGAGTTTAAGCTTTGCAAGGTGAGGACAAATTGCGAATTCTGCGGTTCTTGTCGGAGTTTTGAGTGCTTTAGAGAATGTAAGACTCAGCCCCCCACGATGTATATAATTAGTCCAATCGGCCGTCCATTGCTTAATATTTTTTTAAAATTCCTCCAAAAGAATTCTGATGGTTTATTTTGATATAATATTCAACAAGACAGACACCATCCACGTTCTGACAATTTCAAAACTCTGCTTTATCTTATATAGTTTTAAGTTTTTCCTCCTCGCGCATGCTCTTCTTAATTACTCTTAATTCAGTCTCTCAACATTATCACTAATTAGTTTAAGAGACACTAATTAATCACTCTTAACTGACCTCTCAATGATTGCATTGGACCCTTTTTTGTTCCTAATCATGCCGGTTTCCGCAGGTCTTAGGTGGTTTAATCCCATTGAACCATTTTCTTATTTTAATCCCATCATTGCATGAACTTGGCCGTCCTCTGAGTTGTCCTTTGCCTGGTTTTAGGCCCCACAGTGGACTCTCTGATATCAGTTAGAGAGAATTGGGACCTACCCCCATCAACAATCATTTGGAATTAAGAATTGCATTTTACAATTCAAGTCAATCCTTACTTACATTCTTTGTAGGAGGGCTTCTGGGGTTGAGTATATAAGTGTTTCTAGTGTTTGCTTGTCCTCAGTGCAATTGAGCTTCTGATAGCTGCAGCACTAAACAAGATACAAGGCTTGTACCTTTTCTTTTTCTCCAAATATTTAGAAGAAAGAAAAAAAATGGAGTCTGTTGGTGTTTTTGCTGATGGGGAATGGGAATCCTTGAGCAGATTGTTTTCCACTGAGGAGATTGAGTTAACTCCACATTTTCTTTCTCAGGGTTCATTCCCTTTCCAGCACAATGAGGGAATGAACTTTGAAATCCCAGCCTCCTTTTGCCCCAATATTCCTGAAGCTGAAATGGGATTGAGCAGGGTCAATGAGAGCTTCTTTCAACATCCTTCAGATGCTCTCAACTCTAATGTGCATTATCTTTCTCAGGAGAGTTGTTATGGTAATAACAATCATGGTAGTGCTGGAATTTTTACTGCCATTCTGAACCAGGAAAATTACTACTTTGGTAATTCTTGCCATGTCCCAGTGGCTAATGATATCTCCGCATCTATGGATGTTTATATGAATCATCATGATCATGATGGAAAGAGCTTTGGTTCATTCATCCCAACATTTTCTGACATTGTGATGGAAGGAAGTGTCTCTAACAAAGAAGATTCTGGCAGTGACAGATTGGGATTTTCAGATGACAGCCAGCCAGCTGCAACTGCAATTCCAGGAGAGGAATTGCATCTGAAAAGGGTGCATGATGTGGCAGAAGACAAGTCTAACAATGACAAATCTGACAGTAATCCAAAGAAGAAACCCTGTCTTTCGAAAGATGTAAGCATCATTTAAAGTTTTAGACTTTTAATTTAATGGCCTGGTTGTTGGTTTGGTTCTTATATTTCTGAATCAGTTTTCTAATTATCAGCTCCACATAATAATGCAGGTACAGAAAACTAAGAAAAATAATGCAAGGTCAAAGAAGGGCCAAAAGGCTAACTCAGATGTGAAAGTCAAAGATGAAGAAGAGAGTAACACAGGGGCTGATAGGCAGAGCACTAGTTCTTGCAGCTCTGAGGATGACAATGGTTCTCAGGAGACCAACGGAGGAGAAACTTCGGACCCCAAAACATCATCAGCCCTTAACTCGAATGGCAAGACAAGAGCCAACAGAGGCTCAGCAACTGATCCACAAAGCCTCTATGCAAGGGTATGCAATAAAATCTCTGTTTTCACACTAGGCTTCATTATTTTTATGCTTCAATCAATTTAGACCTTTAATTCAAACATATGCATAAATGGTTTCTTACAGTTCTTGCTTTGATTGAATCTTGCAGAAAAGAAGAGAGAGAATTAATGAGAGATTGAGAATCTTACAGAACCTTGTCCCTAATGGAACCAAGGTTGACATCAGCACAATGCTGGAAGAGGCAGTTCATTATGTGAAGTTTTTGCAGCTCCAAATCAAGGTGAGAAAATTTGTTACACTTTTAACAAAATTTTCAAATTTCTTGTTCAAAATTAAGTGGTGACACAAGGCATACATATGATCACAGATTATTAATTATTTTTTGTTGTAAATTGCAGCTTTTAAGCTCTGATGATATGTGGATGTACGCACCTATTGCCTATAACGGAATGGATATTGGTCTCAGCCTGCAGAAGATGTCTCCACTTCTATGACACAGCAGGAAGCTGCTGTTGTTGTTTTTTTTTGCCTTCGCTTTTCTAATTGTTAATTATTATCAAAATATTTATAAGCTATAACATATGAACAGAATGAATGTATACTAATTTAATTCCCTAACTTGTAATGGGTTTATTAAGTTCAATAAATTCCATCTTCAATCACGAGGAGAATCCTCAGTTTCTTATGAACACGTCTGGTTTCTCATTCTTGTGCTATTGGTTGGAACTATTTTTCTAAGTTTAAGAACTTAAATGCGACCCCCTTGGGCACAGAAAGGGAATAAATTAATAACCATAGTAGTGTTATGATGCGCCTACAATATTTGATCTGAGATTCTGATGAAGGGAAAGATCCAAAAACATATGAGAAACAGTTCATTGGATGTTATCAGCTGCCAGATGGCTTTCTAAGCTTCGTACGGCATTGTTTAGGATGATCAGTCAATGATAATAATTATTTATACAGAAAAAGATGAATTTATGTTAAATGCGTGTTAAAGCATGATGAAGAGAGCGACGCATAATTTGTGTTTAAGAGCTCGAAGGTAAATCCCAGTATAGCCGCGCGGCTATTCTATTTTATTTTATTTATTAAAAGGAAAACCCGAGTATAGCCTAGTATAGCCGGCGGCTATGACTTTTCAGTGTTTAGATGAGGAAATTTAAAAATACAAAAGATTTCATAAATGACAGAATTTAAAATGACGGAAATTAATGTTCTATAATTTATAAAGTTTCTTGTTTGAGTGATGGATTTAAAAGGCGGAATTTAACTAACTTTTATTTGTAAAGTTATCTTTTTTTAAAACTCAGTCTCTCTTGAGATTTTAGAAATGACGACTTTTAAATAGAATTTAAAGTTGAGAATTTATGATATCCAAATTTCAAGTTTTTTTCCACGCAGAATTTCTAAAATGGACAAATTTGCCCTTATTTATTTTTGGTTTTCTAAGAAATCATTTACACTTGCATGTCTTTGATTTGAAAGTTAAGAGATTTTTCTGTCTTTTTTTAAAAAGCTTTGGCTTTTTCCAAAAGTGAAATTTTTTTTATGGCTAAAACCTAAATTACTTTTTTGAAAAATTAGGGGAAAACCAAGTATAGCCGCCCGGCTCTACTATTTCTTTTAATAAATTTTAAAAAACCCCGTATAGCCTGGCGGCTGTACTATTGCTTTGTAAAAAAATTTCAACAAACCATCGCCACGCGGCTATACTATTTCAGGCCAGCATCTGAAACCTCGCAGCTCTATAATCCCTCTTGAAACTAATATTGTGGGTTCCAATCAAGACAGTAGGGGTACAAGGTCCACAAACTGTGAGATTAAGGAGCATGGAGATATGTCACACGACAGGTCTTCCGTGCCCAGGGACTTGATGAACCACCAGGTGCTTTCACCTGTCACAAGATCTCCATTAGAGTTCAGGAGTAATTCATTTGATGGGAGAAAACATGTTCATCTTGAGAAGAATCAAGATGCAATGGATTTTGGATCATCTCTCCTGAGATCTTCAAGTGGAGGTGTAAATAGTTGTTATCTCCTAAACCTCATCTGTTGTCACCATATACTTCCACACCAACTCAACCTCATTTGGTGTCACCATATACTTCCATAGTAACACAAATAGTTTGGTGCTCTTGATGGGGATACTGGAGCCATTGATATTTTCTCTGCTTCTAAACAGCTCTGACTGGGTTTCTCAGGATCTGATGCATCTGAAGTTCATGTAAGGTTTCATTTAAAGAGGTTTGGTGTGATAGAACAATTTATTTTCTTCCCAATCGAAGGATTTGCCTTGGTTGAGTACAGAAACATTCTGCATATTTCTTCTAAAAAATATTCTAAAAACAGAGTATAGCCGGCGGCTATGCTAAAAAAAAAATGGATTAACTACACTTTAGTGCCTGGAGGTTTAGTGTCAGTCTCGAAATGGGCCCCAAGGTTTTAATTTCATCAATTTGGTACCCAACATTTCGAAATATTACCAATTGACACCAACCGTTACATTGACCGTCAAAGTCAGCCGTTAAATGCTGACATGGCAGTCGTGGGACCCGCCTCATAACCAAACAGCAGTTAGAAAGGGATGAGACGATGGGCAATTTCGGGGAAAAAAAAACAAACATCCACAATCTGGCTTCGATTACTAGGTTTTGAAAAATCGAACAAAATCAGATTGATTGGATTCGTGTTTTCGGGAGCAAAGGAGTGAGAAACAAATTGGAGGGAAACTGACGAAGAGGATCCGATTGGCTGGGCGAAATGAATGAAGAGGCGCCGATGTGTTGGTGCGGAAAGGCTGCTACAATTTGAACCTCTTGGACAGATTCGAATCCTGGGAGGCGATTTTCCATGTGTGCAGCAAAGGTACGTGAGATAAGAAGGGTTTTAAGGGCTGTCAATTCTGGGCAAGGTTTGATCCTGCCATGTGTGAACGGTCGAAGGTAGTGATTCCTGGGCTTCTAAAATCGCGGAATAAGCTGGAGAAGTCAGTGGCAAAGGCAAGACAAAGAGAAAAGGTCGTTTGGGTGTTGTTGGTGGCTTCGTGGGTTCTATTTGCAAGCATCATTTTGGGAGGGATGTCTGGATGTGGAGTGAACAAAAAGAGGAGCTTGGAATTAGCTTCTGCCATTAAATGAATGTATTGCTTGTGGGTTGGTTAGGGTATTTTCTGTGATTTAGTAAGTGTTGGGTTGTTAGTAGCATTTTGTAATGGTTTAATTGTTATGTAAGGGTTTAGGGTTATACGGTTTTAGGGTTTTAGAGGTAAGGCTTAAGGGCTTAATTGCTGACTTTTTGTAAGTTGATGAAGTGAATGGAATGGCAAAATTTGTAGAAAATGGTTTAGGGAAGTTGTAAGTTGTAAGTTGTAGAAAATGGTTTAGGGAAGTTGTAAGTGAATGGAATGACTTTTTGTAAGTTGTAAATTGATGAAGTGAATGGGAAGTTATAAAATGGCTTAGAAAATAGATGCACCTGGAACAGCCTGCTTGAATGACCAAAATAATGAAGCAAAGTGGCAACCCAAAAACTCAGAAAATTATGCATTCAAAATGGGCTGAAAATAGCCAGATAATAACATTGCATATCGTACATATTTCATGTCCATTCAAAACATCATCTTCAGTGGATATATTTGCATTCACAGTGGTTGAGGCTTATGTGAATGCCATTACATCTATCAAAAAAAGTCAGCACTTAAAGTTATACATGACCTATTTATCAAAAACAAAAACCTCCTAATCACAAACTGCCATTCTAACAAATCAGACCAAAATCATCAAATAGCTCTTTCAGTCAGCTTCAATGCACAACATTTGATCCTGCAGTTGAAACAGAAGTTGATGCATGAGGACATGAAGGGAAAGCTGGTTGTGCTGCATAAGTGGCATGTCCTTTCTTACTTGGCTTCCCTTTTTGCACACGCATTGGAGGCTTGGATCTTTGCTTTAGGGTGCTTGGACCACCAGCTAGAGTGGATGTGTCAGATGGAGTGGTCTACAACATAAAAACTACATCAGTTTGCAACAAAAGCTTAAGGTTATTAAGGGATAGAATTGAACAAGATTGAGTTGCTATACCTAGGTATTTTCAGTACCCCTCTTCCTCTTAGTTGCAGGTTTGGCTTTTGGGGGAAGATTCCTATGGCAAGTCCTCTTATTGTGCCCTTTTTTACCACATTGGCCACATTTGAGAGAGTCATGTGTGTTGGGAATGCGAGACAATGTAGTTTCAGATTGGTTGCTTGATGCTCTCATCTTCATCTTGCCCTTGTACTCTTCATGTTCTTTATTTCTACATTTTCTTGGCCTTCCAGGCTGTTTAGAGTAAGAAGGAGGAAGACATGGCGGAAAGTTACTCCTATCCCACATATCCATCCCATTCATAGGCAGTATGAAATTCTCATATGTCTTCAAGTAAGTTGTTTTCAAATAGCAGTCATCCACAAAATCCATGACATTAGGACCCCCTTTATAATTTATGGCTGCAATACCATGAACACAAGGGCATCCCTGCAAATCCCAAGCTCTACAAGAACAAGGTCTCAATTCCAAGTCCACAATATATTATGCATGGCCACCAGCTGACACTTGGAATTTACCTCTACCTGACCACATTGCCACACAAGCACCTGCCTTGGCTTTATTTCCCTCCACCTTCTTAAATATCCTTGGGCAGATAGGCTTGTTCCATTTCAGCATTTTGTCCCTTCTTCCTTGTATTCTCCTCATTAACTTACATCTAATATACTCAAACATTGACAGAATTGGTCTATCCATACATTCCAATATGGTAGCATTGAAAGACTCGCAAAGATTATTCAACAACATGTCACACTTCAAATGAGTGTTGAAGTGTGACTTGGACCAATGCCTTGGAGGTTTATCAGGACTGGTTAGCCATTCATATGCATCATTTGACAGTTTTTTCAGGTCTTCTATGGCCCTTGTAAAGTGGGGGACAGTGGTTGCATATGATGCTTCCCAAAACTTGTCTCTGAGGCTTTTTGCTTTGAAAAACAGACTATAGTTGGAAAACAGGTGTCTTGCACAGAACTGGTTGTTACAATTAGGGACCACTTGCTCAAAAGCAGGTAGTAAACCTTTTTGTTTGTCGGATATAAAGGTGAACCCAAATTGATTCACAATCTCACAGTCCTTAACCAATAGCTCCATAAACCAAATCCAAGATTCTTTGCACTCTGATTCCACAACTGCATAAGCAATTACCCAGGTTTCATTATTGGCATCTATACCCACAGCAGTTAACAATTGCCCTGCATAAACACTCTTCAAAAAGCATCCATCTAAACCTATAATAGGCCTGCACCCAGCTTTGAAGCCTTCCTTAGCAGCTCCTAAACAAACATACAACTTTTGAAACTTTGGTTGCCCCAGCTGTTGTTGGAAATCACACTTAACCATTGCTGTGGTTCATGGGTTACTCTTCCTTAATTCTTCACAGTAATCCCAAATTCTTGAATATTGTTCATTGAAACTGCCCTCAATCAGCTTTAGTGCCTTCTGTTTTGCCTTATACACTTGTTGTCTTGACACCCCTGTATTATAATCCTTCTCAACAGCCTGCTTGAATGACCTGACTGGCCACTGGGGATTGGACTTCAAACTGTCAACATATTTCTTGCTTATCCATGTTGACTTCACAGTAGGGTTCTTCCATACCTGTGTACATGTGTGCTCACCTACATATGTCTTCACTTGCAATGTGTTGTCATGTTGCATTTTTGAAGCATATATCATCCTCCCACAATCTGGGTCCCCACAAACTGCCTTCAGCTTCAAAGCCGCATTCCTAATAAACACTACATCCCTATTCTGCAATATGGAGTATTCTCTGACAGCTGCCCTAAACACCTTACAATCACTAAACAACATCCCAATCTCAAACTTTGGATCTGCCATGTCAGTTGCAGCATTGAATTCTGGCAAATCATTATCAACTTCCTTGTCAGAATTATACTTGGCATAATCCCTGCACTGAGAATCTTCAGAATCCAATTCAACATCTGTAGGCCAATCAGGAGCAGTCTCATTCCCAGTTTCTTTAACCCCTATCCATTCAGTTTGGTCATCCACCCATTCATCAAAACAAACATCATCTTGATCTTCATATTCATTGAAGTTTTTGGGAATCATATAATCTGAGTCCTCACTATCACTATCACAAGCATCATCATCTTCATCTTCAAAGTCTGCAGCATTTGCCATTATTCTTCCACTTCTCAACATCATGGAATGCCTTTGAACCTCGGTCCTGACACCATCAACCCTTCCTTCCACAACTTTGTCTTTATGGTGAACAATCTTTGTCCTTCTCAAACTAGCGCATCTTTTTTACCAAATGCACGCTTCACCCTATGTGACATCTCTTTATCCTTGCCTTTGCCTTTATCAGAACAACCTTGACTTGGCTTTTCTTGGCCCTTGTCAAAATTCTCCTCATTATTCATAGTGGCAGTTTCTTTGCCTTGTTTAGAAGCTTCATCAATCAACCCATCTTCATTCAGCCCTTCTTCATTCAACCTTTCTTCATTCAGCCCTTCTTCATTCAACTCTTTGCCTTCTCCACCTGCTTCTTCATTCAACTCTTCTATTACAACACTTGTTTTTTTTTTTCACCTTTTGCACCTTACCAACTCCCCCACCCACTGGAACAATGGCATCATAATTGTCATCAAGCTCTTGCAAAACTACCCCAGTACTGGTCCCAAAATCATGATCCAGATTTATAAATATGTTTGAACCCACTTGACTGTAAAACTGCTCTTGACTGCATGCCAAGACATGTTCTAGGAATATATTTATCACCCTAGTGTCTGGCACAAATACTAGCATGTCTAAGACATCTGTATCCTCACTCAGCTTAACTAGGCCACCATCAAAACTATCACCTGGAATACTGTACCAGTAGTTAATCAAACCTTCGTGCCCTAACTCCTTCACCATGGCATCTATCTCAGTCATTGACATTTTATCCTTATCACAATAATCAAACCAATCCACAGACCCATTCACTAATAGTTACCTCTTATTTCACCATTGTGGTACATTTGAATAGAAAATCTTGCCTCATCCCCTGCAGGTCCAAAGCCACACATGAATTTTACCAAAAAATAATACATGTACTCCTGTTTACAAATACAAATACATATACATATACATATATACAAATGCAGATATACTAACAGACAAATACAAACACACATATACAAATGTAGGTTTCTATGTCAGTCCACACATAAACAAAAGGTAAGATTCACAGTGGTTGTAGGACCACATACAAAAGGCAAAGTTTACTTCCGCATACCACTTACCATTCACACAATTCCATCCACCAATTAAATAGACAAAGTGATACCGACACCTAACTCGAAACTCACAATCCATTAAAAAAGCCAAACTTTCAGTCGACACCAAACTCGAAACTGACTCTATTTGAACAGTAAGCCATACGTACCGTAGAAAGGTTCTCCATATCCTTCCGGACGAAGTCCCCAACTCATATTCTTCAGATCTTTCGGAAACCTCCGATTTAGTATGTTTTTTGCAGTCTATTTCAAATTTCTGCACTCCAAAACACGAACAAACCATCAAACCCTCAAACCCTATCCTCTATGTATGTCTGTCTCCGTACACGAACACATCTCAGAAACTGAGTTTGTTCGATTTTTCCAATCATGGTAATGGAAGCACGCCTTGGAACGCGTGCGCACGCATGTTTGTTTGTTTGTTTTTTTTTCTGAAATTGCCCATCGTCTCATCCCTTTCTAACTGCTGTTTGGTTATGAGGTGGGTCCCACGACTGCCACGTCAGCATTTAACGGCTGACTTTGACGGTCAATGTAACGGCTGGTGTCAATTGGTAATATTTCGAAATGTTGGGTACCAAACTGATGAAATTAAAACCTTGGGGCCCATTTCGAGACTGACATTAAACCTCCATGCACTAAAGTGTAGTTAATCCAAAAAAAATCTAAAAACCGCGTATAGCCGTGCGGCTATACGATTTCTTTTGTTTAAAACGGGATATAGCCGCCAGGCTATACTATTTCTTTTGAAAAAATAAATAAATAAAAATAGAGTACAGCAAATCGATTGTACTATTTATTAAAAAAAAGAAGAAGAAAGAAACTAAGCGGCTATACTATTTCTTTTTGAAAAATTAGGAAAAAATAAGTATAGCCGGGTGGCGATACTATTTTTTTAAATATTGAAAAACCCCCAACTGGCTATACTATTGCTTTAAAAAAAAATTGAAAAAAACCAGTATAGCCGGCCGGCTATACTATTGCTTTTAAATAAAATTGGGAAAAACTCAGTATAGCCGGCGGGCTATAATATTTAAAAAAAAAAATTCAAATCCTGGTATAGCAGGCGGCTATACTATGTCTTTCAAAAAAAAATTCTAGATACAGATTATAGCCGTGCGGCTATAGTACTTCTTTTTAAAAAAATTAGGAAAAAACCGAGTATAGCTTCCCGGCGATACTATGCCTTTTAAAAAAAAATTGGAGCAACCGTGTATAGCCGCACGGCGATAATATTTCTTTTTAAAAAAATTGAAAAAACCGGATATAGCCGCCCGGCTATACTATTACTTTTGAAATTTTTTTTAAAAATAAAAACAGAGTATGGGGATGCGGCCATACTATTTCTTTTTTTAAAAAAATTATGAAAAAGGATCCTCCTACTACTAGTTGCATTAGTTTATACTTTATAGATATTAATTTGGTATAGCCGCCCGGCTATACGTACATGTTTCATTCGGCAAAATTTTGGAATGCTTTGTAATGGTATATATACAAGTGTTTATAGTCCTTGCTTGCCCCAACTTGCAACTGAGCTCCTAATAGCTGTAGCACACTACAATTAACAAATAGGGAAAGATGGAGTGTGTTGGAGTTTTTCTGATGGAGAATGGGACTCTTTGAGCAGATTGTTCTCTGCTGAAGAAGAGCTTGAGTTCACACCACCACATTTTCTTGGTCAGGGTTCTTCATTTCCTAATTTCCAACGCAATGTTGTGGGGATGAACTTTGAAACTCCAGCCACCTTTTGCACTAATAACCCTGAAGAAGCTGAAATGGGATTGGACAGGGTCAATTTGTTTCATCCTTTAGACTCTCATTTCCAATATCTTTCTTGCCATATCCTAGTAACCAATGATATCTCTACAACTCATGATCAAAAGTGTTTTGGTCCTTTTGGTTCATTTTTCACCCCAGCATTATCTGAGTCTCTGATGGAAGGAAGTGTCTGTGGCAAACAAGATTCTGGCAGTGACAGAATATTGGGATTTTCAGATGCCAGCCAGCCAGCAGCTGTTGCTGTTCCAGGAAAGGACACGTATTTCGAAAGATGTAAGAACCATTTGAAGTTTTAAATTGATGACTTGGTCGTTGATTTTAATATTTCTGAAGCAGTTTTTGATCTAATTGTCAACTTCACACCCTACAGGTACAGAAAAGTAAGAAAAATGTGAGGTCAAACAAGGGACAGAAGCTTAACTCAAATGTCAAAGATGAAGAGAGCACCACAGGACTAGATAGACAGAGCTCTAGTTCTTACAGTTATCAGGTTGAAAAAGCTTCTCAGAAGAGCAATGGAGGGGAAACTTCAGACCACAAAACATCATCATCAGCCCTTAACTTTCATGGCAAGGCAAGAACCAGTAGAGGCAGCAACTGATCCCCCAAAGCCTCAATGCAAGGGTAAGTGACAACAATACTTCTCAAGTCTTGCAAAAACACACACACACACACACACATGTATATGTGTTAGTATTGATTTTGTGATTGGCATTTCCTAGAGACAAATTAGACTAAGTATAGATGGTAAATTAGTTGTGATGGTGGCTGTCAAAATTCCAAGATATGATTTGAAGGCTTATATGTCAACCAACGATCACTAAGGTAAATTCTTCATTCAATCATGCATCTTGATTGTGGTATTTCAAGCATTATTTCAAAGTCACAATCTGTTTAACATTTTGATTAAGAAGACTTTTTATTTTAAGAAAGATTAAATTGCTTTCCTGTTCTGAACATTAAAAAGTCTTCTTTGATTGGAAATCAATTAGTCTGACTTTGGCAAATTAATATGTTGATTAGGAACTAATTGATCTTGTTTTTAGTTTTGAAAACCATTATAAAAAGCAAGGCTTGGTTTTCATTTGATAACAACTTTCAACAACTAGAGTATTTCTTGAGTTTTCATATACACAAAAGAAAGTTGTTGTGCTTTATTTTCCAGAAGGATAAATCATCAAGATTAAGATTATCTTGGTGATTTATCTTTGTATTCATATTGCATTCATTTGCATGTTCGGTGACTCATACGGTTGAGGACACCAAGACCGTTGTGGCCGTTTTTCCCTGGTGAGCTTGAATCGATCGTGACCAGTATCGGATTCAACATAAGGAGAATTGGAAGAACTCCGGCGAACTTGAAGTAATCGTGACCAGTATTGCGCTCAACATAAGGAGTGTCGAAAGATCATCCCGCAAGAAGTTGAGTTATGAAGAAGTTGGTACGTTGTCTAGAGTGTCTAGGACAAGTTTGTATACTTCTTGTGATCATCGTTCTATAGTGGATTTGTGTTGGATTGAGGAGTCTCGTGGATTTTCCCCAAAGATGATGTTTTACCACGTAAAATACTTTCTGTGTTTTCCTTTGCTTTTACATTCTGAACTGTGCAGGACTGATACATTGTATCAATCCCTTTGGCGTGTTTTATTTGTATTATCGTAATACTCTTAACTACTCAAACACAGACTTTACGCTTTAGGTGTTTTAAGCCATCCTATAGGTATTTTCAATATGTATGGTAAGATTCTTACGATTCATGCTTCGATTAAATCATACATAAAAGAAGGGAGAAAATAAACTAGCGATTGAGAATCTTACATAATCTTGTCCCTAATGGAACTAAGGTTGACATCAGCACAATGCTGGAAGAGGCAGTTGATTATGTGAAGTTTTTGCAGCTCCAAATCAAGGTGAGAGAAACCATTGTTCGCTTCCCTTCTTTTTGAATAACAAAATTGTCAAATTTCAGCTCAAAATTTAAATGGTCACAAGGCATTTATATTATATAATTGCTAATTATGAATTATCTTGTATATCACAGCTTTTAAGCTCTGATGATACGTGGACGTACGCTCCTATCGCTTATATAATTGCTAATTTTTTTAATACAAATTTATAAATAAACTCAATCCTAGACATGTATTTATAAAAAAACCCAAGCACTATTTAAACATAGAAACACACCCAAAATCAACAATTGTATATTTTTTTGGTGTGTTTATAAATGGGTTTGAAGTGTGTGTAATGATGGGTTTTGGGTGTGTTTATAAAGTGTTTTGGGTGTTGGTTTTTTTATAATTTCAGCCCCCATTTTGGGTGTTTTAGTGAAACTCCCTTTTTTTAACTTGTAATGGGTTTTCTTTTTTATTAGCAACTTGTAATGGGTTGTTAAATAAATTCCATTTTTAATCACAAAGGGAAACCTCAGTTTTTATTTTTTATTTTTATTTTATATAAATACTTCTTGTCTCCGATTCTTGTGCTTAAATACGACCCCCTTGGGCAGAAAACAGAAATAAATTAACAACAATCACATAATTATAATGTTCATTTATATTATGATTTATACCATATTGAGCATCCGATATATATATATATATATATATATCATAAAATCTTTTATCCGACTCTCTGAGATTCCGATGAAGAAGATCTAAAAACATGTGTTGAACAAGTTCACTGGATGCTAGCAGCTGCCAGGCTTTGTAGCCCTCGTGCAGCATTGTTTAGTTTAGTATTTGCCAGTCTATAGCAATAAATTAATTCTAAGTAGAAATAGTGAACCTATATGTCTGATGGATTTGCAAGAACATGATGAAGAGAGGCAATTGTTGTGTCATTGTAACTTGTACGTATATACGTACCGTGAAAAATGCCAATGAAAAACTTGTCTGCTCTCATCTGTGGCAGAACATGTTCATATTTTATTAAATAGGTTTGAATTGAATTCATGCATTTCCATGTTTGATAACATTAAGGGCTCGTTTGGGAGTGCTTTTGGAGCAGCGATAAGCGCTTCATCTTCTTGATTGTTGTTATAGGTAAATATTATCTAGTGGATGCAAGCTATCCACAAATCAAAGGATATTTAGGGCCATATATGGGTGAGCGATATCATCTTCCTGATTTTCGACGTGGAAGTCAACCAAGAGGGAAGAAAGAAATATTTAACCACATGCATTCTTCCCTAAGATGCACAATCGAAAGAACTTTTGGTGTTTGGAAAAATCGTTGGAGAATGATACGACAAATGCATAACTTTCCTATGGAAAAACAAATACAAATAGTTGTTGCTTCAATGGCTCTTCACAACTTTATAAGATGTCATTCCATGACAGATCAAGAATTCCAACCGTATGATGATGATGATGAGCTACTTCCCTCTGGCGGGGCGGGAGTTACTATAGGGGAAGAGATGCTTGAAGAACAAAATCTAACCCATGGGCATGAGATGGCTGACGAATGTGAGAGAATTGCAAATCTTCTTATGTCTGGTTAATTCTTTTTTCATTTTCAAAAAATGATTAAAAATTATACTTGGTGAAGTTCATACTTTTTTAAGTCGTGTTTTTATTTTGAGATCCTGTGAATTTTTATTTCCTATATTTATTATAATATTTTGGGATTCTTTAAATTTTTGTAAAGTGCTTTTAAAAGCGCTTTTACTGTGTCAACCAAACACTCAACAAAATATCAAAAGCGCTTTTATGTAGTGTAAAAGCACTTTTAAATGTGACATCCAAACAACAAACTGCTTCTTTGTAGAAGCGCTTATGTCATAAGCGCTACTGGCATAAGCACTACTGGCATAAGTGCTTCGGAAAGAAGCACTCCCAAATGAGCCCTAAGACTAATCTCATACCTACATCATTTGGTCTGTAAAATGTGGTACAAAAAGAGTCTTCCTCGCATTATCTAATCTATCTATATATATAAAGCAAAAGACAGATAATAGTGAAACATTCAAAATACCATAAAATAGCCTTGGTTAATTCAAGTATTAAGAATTGAAATTATTAATTAAAAGATGATAATATGGTAAATTCACTTTTTTTATATTAAAAAAAATTAAAATTAAAAACATTCATACTTTTATGGAACATAACTACCAATGTTATATTTTCTTAATTCTAAAAATAAAATAATAAAATAATAAAATAAAACTAATGGGCTCTAAATATTTGAACAGAAATAAATTTCTTTCCACCCTTTTTTCTTTTTCTTCTTCAGGAAATAAAACCGTTGAAAACGTTGACCCACCCATCCTCGCGTATATCCGACGGCTAAAATAAAGAGAGTTTCACTAAAACACCCAAAATGGGAGTTGAAATTATAAAAAAACCCAAGCACTATTTAAACATATAAACACACCCAAAACCCATCATTACACACACTCAAAACCCATTTATAAACACACCCAAAAAGTTGACTTTGGGGTTGATTTTGGGTGTGTTTCTATGTTTAAATAGTGTTTGGGTTTTTTTATAAATACATGTCTAGGATTGGGTTTATTTATAAATTTGTATAAAATAAATCTACAGAGCCACGTAGGTACAGTTTCACTGATGGTGGGACCCTTCCTGTCTATAGAACGGACTAGTTGGGAGTCTAGCGACCAAATCGAGTCGAAGACTCGAAGTTCGCACACCGCCGGCCACGCTCACTATTCACCAAAATCTCAGTGAGCCACCGTCCTCTCTCTCTCTCTCTCTCTCTCCATGGCCTCCGGAGAGCAACCTCCGAAGAAGCGAAAGCTGTACGAAGCTCAACCAGAGCCACCGTCATCACCGCCGTTATCTCAGCCACCGCCACCGCCACCGCAAACCCTAGCCCCTGCCCCGAGCGTTGGAGCTCCACAATCTAATGAAGAAATTCTTAATAAACGTAGACACAGAGACGAGATTCGAAGCGTTTACGAGTGCTATAAGCGGATTAAGTTTTGCCTTTCCAAGAATGACTCTGCTCTCACGCCTGAGCTTGAGCAAGCTTATCTCTCTCTCATCACTGCTTCCAGAGGTCAGTGTGAATTTTACTCATTTGCTCCTCTTTGTTCAGATTTATACGTTTATTTTCGTGCAAATGTTGAACTGTAGTGCTTACGGCGGGGTTAGCTGAGTTAATTTTTGGTTGCTGATAAGCCTGAAGAAAAGAAATAGGTTATAATGCTGTTTTATTTCATGTTGAGCCTTTGGTTTCTTCAATTACTGAAACTTTAAAGAACCAGTAGTAGATGATGATTGTTAGCGTTATATAAATCTTAGTGCGGCATCAAAGGAACTTACATAATTAGGGTGTTTCTTGTGCGTTCTACATAAATTTGCATTGCATGAGATCAAATAGGTAGCATGGGAATGTTCTGCGAACAAAGTAGGTGCTGATGAGCCCATTAGTCTTATCTTTCATCATTAATTTGTCTATGTTCAACTACTTTGCTTCAAGCTGCTAGTTAGATTTTCAGACCCAAAAAAGCTGCTAGTTAGATGCATTGGGCCCTGCACAAGTGCTTTAATGAATGAAAGAGAGAATAAGCAGCCTTCATACTGTAGATTATAAATTTTTCTCTCCAATGTGGTAATCTTCAGGCTAACTTCACAGGTTGTACGAGCGTACAACGTATTGTGGCTGATCTCATTCCTCGATATGCTTCAAAATGCCCAACTGCTCTTGAAGCCGCGGCAAAAGTTGTTATCAATATGTATAACTGGAGCATGGCGGTAATAAATAGAGGAGAGGATGCTGAGAGTGTTGCATTTCAGACAGCTAAATCCTGTATTCTTGGTCTATCTGATATTTGTTGCACTGCTTCTTCAGTGGCGCCAACATCATCTGTCATTCGGGGTATTTGCTCTACAGTTTTCCAGAATGTGCTCACCTTTTTCATATCCACCTTTGAGGGAAAGGATGTCTTTATGATCGTTGGGAAAGAAACTGTGAGAATACAAGATTCTTCTGAGATTTTTTCTGAGCTAAAGCATAAGATTTCAGATGAAAATGAATCTTCACCGATTAAATTATCCAAGTTATGCGCTCTCAGTTTACTCTGGATTTTCTTTTGTTATCCTAAAGAATTACTTTCAGCCTGGTTCGAACTCTTCAAATCCAGTGCATCAGAGGGAATTCTGAAAGGGCAGTATTTCCTAAGTCAAATGACAAGCAGGCTTGATAATGATGGTGGCTATCCTTCGGATAAAACTGGTGATGAACCTAAATCAAGTACTGGGTATAGTGAATCTAGCACCAGAAGGGATGAGGTTAGCTCTGAGCAGCTAGCATCAGATGGTGCCCAAGTCTGTGGAGTTGCATCTACAGTTAAAAACAGCTGCTTGTTAGGACTGGTAATTTTTCAGAGCTGCCCTGCGTATTGAATGGATGTCATGCTATTAGATTCTGAGTTTTAGTACTGATATAATTTGATAGTCTTTGCCATATAAGCTATTAATTTGGGAGAATGTATATTAGTATTTTCAAGAGATTGAAGAAAATACTGGGCACTGACTCTTGTTTATTTTTAACAGAATTGGGGAAATCTTTTTATCTAGCATTGTTTGTATAACAAAAACACATAATATGTAATTTTAGGGTATGGTAATTAGTGTATGGATATGCATGACGGATCAAATGCATCCTTCTTTCCATGTGTCCTGGAATTGCAACTCAGCTCAAGTTCAATGCAACAAATTTCTTTAGGAAAGGGGTTGTTGAGTTGACTGAGTTTTAGAACATTAGGTACTTTATTGCAATAAAGTTCTAAACCAAGACATATGTAGAGGGGATGTGGTAATTTGGGTAGACATCACTAAATGGGGATTTTTCACATTTGTATAAAGGTTATTCTCGTACATCTGACTGGTTGTTAGAAATTAGATGTGCTTAGGTATTTGGTTTGAAGATAAGGCAAAATTTTTTTTTCCCCCTTTTGATTAGTGGTTTGATTATTGTTATTCCTTTTCTGGTCTTGCTGATAATCTCTTGCACTGGGTCGTTTTTGTTATTGTTTTCCTTTTTTCTTTAAAATGCAGGTTCTTAGCAAAGATCCGTCATTGCGAAGTTGGATATTCTCAAAGTATAAGAAGTTGTGCAAGTTGCAGTCTTTCAAGGCGTTATCTGATATTAAATCTTCTTTAGAGGATGTCTTTAAATCATTTGTAGAACAAATGGATGTAGAAGACAATCAGGTGGATAGTGATGATGATGATTCTGATGCATCCAGATTTATTGAACGAGCATATCTGGTGCCTAAGTTCTCTAACCAACATGAAACCTGTAGTGAACTATTTGGAAAAGATAGTAATTTAAGGCCTAGTGGTGGATCATATGATGATTTTTATTCTGACAGAGTTTCAGGCCAACATCTGAAACCTCGCAGCTCTATAATCCCTCTTGAAACTAATATTGTGGGTTCCAATCAAGACAGTGGGGGTACAAGGTCCACAAACTGTGAGATTAGGGAGCATGGAGATATGTCACACGGCAGGTCTTCCGTGCCCAGGGACCTAATGAACCACCAGGTGCTTTCACCTGTCACAAGATCTCCGTTAGAGTTCAGGAGTAATTCATTTGATGGGAGAAAACATGTTCATCTTGAGAAGAATCAAGATGCAATGGATTTTGGATCACCTCTCCAGAGATCTTCAAGTGGAGGTGTAAATAGTTCTTTTGAATCTCCTAAACCTCATCTGGTGTCACCATATACTTCCACACCAACTCAACCTCATTTGGTCTCACCATATACTTCCACAACAACACAAATTGTTTGGTGCTCTGATGGGGATACTGGAGCCATGGATGTTTTCTCTGCTTCTAAACAGCTCTGGCTGGGTTTCTCAGGATCTGATGCATCTGAAGCTCATGTAAGGTTTCAGTTAGAGAGGTTTGGTGTGATAGAACAATTTATTTTCTTCCCAATCAAAGGATTTGCCTTGGTTGAGTACAGAAACATTCTGGATGCTGTAAAGGCTCGGGAATATATGCGCGGACACTTTCCTTGGCACATAAAGTTTATGGATATAGGACTGGGAACTAGAGGTGCAATGAATGGTGTTGCAGTTGGTTCTAGTTGTCATGTTTATGTTGGAAATGTTCTAAGCCAATGGGCCAAAGATGAGATTCTGCATGAATCAAGGAAAGTGCTTTACAAGGGTCCTTACATGATCACTGATCTTAGCAATGAAGGTGCATTACTGATGGAATTTGATACCCCTGAAGAAGCTGCTACTGTAATGGCACATCTCAGACAACATCGCAAGGAAAGGAGTAATTACAGGCCACCATATAGTGCAGGGCCAACTAATGTCGTAATATCTCAAATTGATGGTGCAAGATCTGTGCCTACCCCTACCCACAGAAGCAACAACCCTGGAAACATGTCTAGTGGTCATGTTGCTGCACCATTCTCAGTAAATCATGACAGCCATCCCATGGAGCTTGTATCCCCTAGAGTAAAGTCTGAGAATCAGGGGAATTCAGTACAGAGTGGGTATACGTTTCAGTCAAACAGAGCTGTTACTGGCAGTACAGAGATGCTTGAAGCTGGCACCCAAAAGGTTGATGGTTATGACAATAACATAGCTGTGGTGGATCCTTCACAAGGAGGTGATGAACTTATATATAAATTTGTTTTTTAAACTTCCCCCCTCCCCTCTCCTTTTCTTTCCTTTTGATACTAAAGGAACTGTATATTGGATGATTTTACTATAGGTAGTCATGTTGCTTCTCATGCCACTGAACAAAACTGGATGTATGCAAAACCTGGAACGGAGCTGCATTCTGCACCAGGGAGCATTCCATGCGTTCCTGTGCCAACACAGGGACTCTCTGCCCCACCTCCACTCCAAATCCAATCATCTCCATTTATACGACCTATTTACCTCCCTCCAAATAGTTCCTGGGATCCACGGGGTGTAAATCATAATCCTCCTTTGAACCCAATCTCACCAGGTGTAATGCCCAACAATTTTCATGGTAATGCTATTGTATCTCCCTTCATTCCTGCTTCAGTGACTCCACTTGCACAAGTACAAGGAACTCCAGCACAGCAATTTGACCAAATGTTTTCAGTTCCAACAGTGCCACCACCATTATCATCTCTACCACCTCCTCTGCCTGAAATGCCACCTCCATTACCCCCATCTCCACCACCTTTGCCTCAATCGCAGCCACCTTTCGTTCCTCCTCCTCCACATTCACCTCCTCCGCCTCTGCCTGTTCCAGAATCATCTGGAGTAGAAATTTCTGGACGATGCTTGCAATATCGGTGGCAAGGAGTGTTGTGTAAAAGTGGTGTTCAGTACTGTACGGTTTATGCATCTAGGGTGGATTCTGATATTTGCAAATATTCCAATGCCATTTCAGAACCTGTAGAGTAAGGACTTATCTTTTCTTTAGTTTCCTTTCTGGAATCTCATTAAGGTTTGCATATTTCAAATAAATATCTTTTAACAATTTATGACTAATTTGTTCAGATGGCCTGCTAAATTAGACATGACCAAGCGTACAGATTTTCGGCATGTGAAATCAACATTTACTAGCACCCCACCACATAAAGTAAGTCAGTGAATATCTCTCTCTCTCTCTCTCTCTCTCTCTCTCTCTCATGTATTTAATGCCTGTGTCTTTGGGTACCTATATTTTTCTAATTTCTGGTTTATAAGGCCTTCAGAATCAAATAAATATCATATTGAACAGCTTTGCCTTTTATAAGATGAGCTACAGAATAGTTTTTCCATCACACAAAGAATGTGAGAATTATACAATGTTCACTGGTTAACATCAATGGATCATAAATTGGCATGTGGTGAATCCCTGGTAAACTGGTTGTCATCATAGCTATATATAGGATGCTGATAAGATGTAAATGATTGGTCAATATGATATTTATTTGACTTATGTGCCTACTACTCTTTCAGTAATTTACTGAAAAAATTTATGTTACAAACTGAGAAAAATTGATCCCCGGTCTACCTACTGAGTACTGACTTAATTGATGGGAGGGCCAAATTTCTACATATTAATATTAACTTATTTTTCTCCTTTTCCTTTCCAAACCTTATTTAATTTCATTGTCTTTCTTTTGCATCTGATGCAGAGGGAGGTATGTCGATTAATCCCAGCTTCTGCAGGCGACCATAAAGGCGTAAGTTACTCCTTGTTATTTTGGTCCTGTAGTTATGTAGCCTCCTCTGTCTATTATGATTTTGTCCCTTTGATAATGTGATTGTACTCTTTAGACAAATCACGTTTCAATTCATAAAAGTCATTGAGCTTCATATTTGTACATAGACTTTATCAACAAAAAGTGTAGTTCAAATATTTGTACATGGACTTTACTACACGTATTAAGTCTTGCATTACTGTTGTCCAGTTTCAGGATTGTACTCTTTAGACAAATCACGTTTCAATTCATAAAAGTCATTGAGCTTCATATTTGTACAGACTTTATCAACAAAAAGTGTAGTTCAAATATTTGTACATGGACTTTACCACACGTATTAAGTCTTGCATTACTGTTGTCCAGTTTCAGGATTTCATTTCGTACCTGAAGCAGAGGGAGTGCTCGGGCGTGATAAAAATCCCTGCCGTGAAATCCTTATGGGCGAGGCTTCTCTTCATACTTCCACACTCGAATGACACTTGCTCCATGCTCTCTATTGCACCCACTCCACCGGATTCCCTCATTGCTTTAATATTACCAAAAGAAACCAACTTTGAGTGGGTTTGATATGATCTTAGTTTATTGTATGGCTGGAAGTGTGGCCATACATGTGCTTGCCGTGGCCTATGAGTATTATTTTCAGAACACAACACTTATTTGTTATGCTTATTATACTAGTTGGTGATGTATTGTTTTTCAATATTTTCATACACGGTACAGAATCCAGCATACTTTATAGGGATCAATCTTTGTTTCAGCTTAGCTTAGCATGTATATCGAAAGGATTTTCTCACTTTTACACCCCAACCTCTTTCCCCCTACCTTCCCCTCCTTTGTATAACTCTCTCTCTCTCTCTCTTGAAGGAGAACAATTTCCTATACCGTTGCATTGTCTCATTTTTTCCTCTCTCTTCATGTCACGTAGCAAAGGAGGAGAGAGATAGGAAGAAGTGACCAGGCAACATGAGTAGGGCCAAGATGGAATATTGTGGCTCAATGAGCCCACAAGTAACATAACCACATAAGCCTGGACCTGATGCAAAAATACTTAATTTTCATTCATAGCCCAAAGAAACATAGAAAAAAAAATGGTTAGAAAAAGGGAAAGAAAAAATTAATTTGGCCAGGGTAGACTTTGCTGCTCTGCCTGGTGTGAGTGTTCCTCAAGTAATTCAGGCTGGGCGCAAGTAAGCGCCAACCTCTCCTAACTATTTTGATTTCCGATTGACCCGCACATTTACTCTCACTTATCTTTATTCGAGAATTCGATCGGCTTCTTCTACAAAGACATGTCGAACCGGCACGCTCAGACAAGGCAACCCGGGAACAAGGGTTTGGCCAAAACCCAAAAGGTCTTCGTCCCCAAGAATCAAAACCAAAATCCAGGCCCTAAAGAGCCCACGCTCTCCAGCTCTCTCAGGCAATCGCTTGCCACTCAATCCAATGCCGAAACTGCCACCGTTGCTGCTGCGGCGCCGTCGGCAAGTAGGGTTCGGATGGGAGAGAAAGGAGAGTGGGTGTCCAGCAGAGCTCATGGTGGCAATTTCGTAAATTACTTGCCCCAGGATGAGGCGGTGGCGGCTGGGCTCGGCGCCGACGAAGGTGGATTGGATGCCCTGCAGTCTCAGAGAGTTGTGGATCTTCTTAACAGAGAGCTCTCTCGCTTGCTCAAGTTGAACCCGAAGGAGTTCTGGAGACAAGGTGCGTACAACTTAGTTAAGCTGCAACCTTTTTAACATTGATAAGCTTGTTTGTCACACTAAATTGTCAATTTAATAGAAAATTTGTTACCATTTCTGTTATCATCCCATCTAGTTTTCCAGTTTTTTGTTGTTATAATTATGCTTGTTCTTGTGATAGTACCATTAATCTTTCACTGTTGTTGTTCCTGATACCCATTTTTCTCAGTGGCTAGTGATGCTTCCTTGCATGAATTTCTGGATAGCTTCCTACAGTTCAGGAGCAGATGGTATGACTTCCCTCATCGTGGAGCCAAAGAAATGGTGGCAGGGGTCATTGTTGGGGAGTTCGAATTAAGCCGACGTGTTTTTATGGCATTGTATCGCATGTAAGTTTGAGCTTGCAGCTGTGGCTTCATACTTTATTAGTTCATTATCGTTTTTTTATATTCACTACCTCTGTCATTATATTACAGATCCTCTAATAGGGATCCCGGTGCACGTGCTGCTGATAGTCTCAGTCCAAAAGACCATGAAGGTGTGTTCTCTCTTCTCTGTAAATTTGTGTTCATACAGTCTGGTGGGCAAAATAACCCACTTTTTGGAATAGGATTGCTGTAACCGTTAAAATAATGTGAATATTATTATGTATTACTTTGTGTCAGCTTCCTTTGTGCAGTAACCAATGTTTGGGATAACTTTTGTGCCCAAATTAGAGCTTGTGGGTGCTTTTAGGTGTATCATAGGAGTCTGCATCTATGTCCTATATTTGCATTGAAGTTGAACATATCTCATTGGAGAAAATATGATTAGGATGGGGTTTTTTTATTGCTTTTTTTTCTTTCTTCGTTTGTATCAGATCCTAATAACAGTTTTTCACTAATTCCACGTGTAGTTCTTTTGCAGGAGAAGAAGTTGCTTGACCTGCCTAAGTTGCTAGACATCTGTGCTATATATGGTCATGAAAATGAAGATTTGACCAGAGTGTTGGTAGGCATTTTTTATGAATAGCGCCCTACTGCATTGGCTCTCTCTCTCTCTCTCTCTCTCTCTCTCTCTCTCTCTCTCCCCCCCCCCCCCCCCCCCCATTTATTTATTTATTATGTCTTTCAGGTTGGAAATGCAGTGAAAGCACATACTAGAATACATGACAATTTGACTGCAGTGGCTTCACATTTCCTTAGCATTGTTCAAACAATGTATCAACGTAGCAGTACAGCTTTGGAGGTATGCCCAGTGCCTACTAATCTATTAATTCAATAACAACATAGTATCTTACATCGCCAAATCATCTGTTTTTAGTTAAAGTTCCAAGATGTCAATTACTTCGGGGGGGTGCGGACCTCTTGATCGAAGCTCCACTGTTCTGAATAATGAGAAACAAACACTTGCAGCCTAATGGCTATAGTCATAGGTTTTCATGACCTCTACTTTTTAGACTTGAGGAAACTTATAATGAAGAGAACTCAGCTGTTGTATAATGTTGATCAAATTTTCCAGCCTAACAAATAACCATTAACTCTAAACGTGTTTGTATTTCTTTATTCCTTATTTAGTCTAGTCTTTACTGGTAGTATTTACATGTACTTTTTCAATTAAGTAGCTTGCGTGCATTTCTGATACATGACAGAGATTTTTCCAATATCATGTACAGGCCCTTTTTTCCTCTGGAAACCCTGGAGACCAGGGACCCAGCCTTCTTACTGATCTATTGGAGGTGAGTTTCTTTCTATTATTTTTTTATTGAACATATTGGGACAACCGACTCCTTCCTACACCTTCTCCCATCCAATACTTACTTTAAATTTAAATTAATTTCTTCAAAATATTAAATGGTGGGTATTAATTTGGATATGTTCTGCCGCGTGCTATAGAAAAGTTTCTTTTGTCAATATATCATTTAATTTTTTACAGTAACACGTGGTATTGTATCTGGAAGTTCTGTTGAACGAGTTTTAGCTACAAGTACAGCAAAGGAACTCATTTAATAAGGAATTCAAGGAAATCATTACTTTTCCTTTTTTGGGTTGGATCTATGATACTTTCAGTGGATCCTTGCCATTTCTGTTTCAGCTTTTTCAAGAGATAAGGATGTTTACATGCTTATGGTACTTGTGTTAAAAAATTTCTCCTTCTTTGGTAGGTTATGGACTTCATAAACGATGCAATTGTATCCATGGACGCTTTACTAACTGCCTACGAACCATCAGCTGTGTTCTTTTTGTGCCCTGTTGAAACGAGGTACCTTGTTTAGCATTGGGTTTTTCTAAATTTGTGGTCTAAGCATGAATGGTAGTACCTGTATTCCACAGTAAGAACATGTGAGTGCATAAGGGATTTCAGTTTTTACCAGCCTGTTTTGGTTCTTTGTCTAGGATTTTTATAGTGGAACCTGATAGGTTGGTAAATCATGGGTTTTAGCATGAATGCTGTCAAAAGTTTCAATAATAAGGAAATAGTATATCTCTCTGTCTATGCAGTTACGGGAACGACGCATTACTAAGCACTCTAGCAAGGTTGCATGATTCATTACTTCCATCTTTGCAGCGCGGGTTTCGAATAATTTCAAGTTCACCAGCTTCAGAAGATAAAATGGTGTCTAATATTGCTATAAGTTTGAAAATGTTGTCAATGAGAATCGTCAAGTTTGGTTGGAAACTCTTGGACTTATGCTATCTAAGTGAGGAGGTCTTCAAAGATAACCTTCCCATTCCATCTGCTGCAGAGATGTTCCCAGCCAAAGTAGAGGATCCTTTCATTAGGGCAGATATATTGGTACAAACTTTAAGAGAGATTAACGGAATTTCAGTATGTGCTCAGGAAAACCAGAATAGGCAAACTTTTCTTCAAAATGTTGAGAAGAACTTCAACATTTTGGGCAAAATGGAGAACTTACAAAATAACGGTAAGGGATTACATGCTATTACTGTTTGTTTTACTTGTTCTTGTTGATTATAATTTTCCAGTTACTAGGTCTTATATGTATCAAGATAGATATTGTATATGTGTCATGAGATGCATTTGTTTTGGAAGTAACAAATAATTGATAAATGTTATTGATAAATACAATAATCCTTGCATGATTTGTCATAGAATTCTTACATAGTAAGAGAAGTTATAAACTAGCAAAGTATGCTGAATAAATTGTTTTCGTAATCTCTCTCCACTATTATATCGATATGGGAGTTGATTTCTAGATATTGAGACGGTCATTTTCTCAATTAGGACGTTAGGGTGTTGGGGAAGAAAGGAGGTAAAAATGAAATTTCACAATAATTGGTGTCTTATAAAATTTTTATATTCGGTTTTCAATTGGAAAATATTTACTATACGTGATTGTTTTTTATTGGACAGTTAAGTATAATTATGCTTGATCTTGAAGAAGTAAGTTATATCAAGTCAACTTCGTTCATGCAGGATGGATAGTCATGGATGATGAACAGCTAGGGTATGTATCCGGGATACTGATCAGTTCTCACAAAGTCATTGTTAAGGAGCACCCCAGTACGACAGTCCCTTTAACAAACAACAAGGTGCAAATAGATGAAGATGTTGCAATTGTAGAGTCCAGAATCAGTCAAATAAAGGACCTCTTTCCTGATTATGGCAAAGGGTTTTTAGCTGCCTGTCTAGAAGCCTACAACCAGAATCCTGAGGAGGTGATTCAGAGGATTCTTGAAGGAACACTTCATAAAGATCTGCAGTCCTTGGACACTTCACTAGAAACAATGCCAGTATCCAAGAATGCCACTGTTAGTAGGAATGATAAAGGGAAAGGAAAGCTAGTTGAATTTACAGCACCACCCGCCACTAATACAGTGGCCATTGCTAGGGATAAACCAAACAGCAGCTCTTCAGTTTCATCTTCCTCTACACAGGGAAGGTTTGTTAGGAAGTCTAAAGCGGACTTGCCTGATTCTGATATCCTTGATAACAGAAATGAAGAGTACACAGCAAAAACTGCTGCTCTTATTTCGAAGTATGAAGATGAGTATGAAGATGAATATGATGACTCTTTTGATGATCTAGGTCTGAGTGTTGCAGATTCAGGAGTTGGGGAAAGTGAGATATTTAGTGAAAAAAGTAGCTCAAATATGGGTAGGCCTTTTGAAAAGCAAAATGAAAGTTCATCTCGAAGTGCTCCTAGTTCGAAATGGGGCTCCAGACAGAAGCCCCAGTATTATGTCAAGGATGGTAAGAATTACAGTTACAAAGTTGCAGGTTCAATTGCAGTTGCAAATGCTGGTGAAGCATCATTAATTACAGAAGCACAGCAGGACATGATTCATGGCCTTGGTCGCGGCGGCAATCTTCCTCTTGGTGCGGTCAAGAAGCTGACGGAGTACTCTGAGGAGCAAAACAAGCAGTTTGATATTCCTCAGATGGAAGGGAGAGGGAGAGGGTTTATTGGGAATGCCAGGGGCAGAGGAAGGAAAGGAGGAAGACAAAGGGATTCCAGTGAGGAGCAGGATAATAAGCAAAATGATACTTCTGAAGTTGAAGGCCAAGAGAATACCGAGAATCAAAGGGGAGGAAGGGGAAGGGGACGGAGAGGAGGGGGAGGGGGAAGAAATTTCAGAAAGGACAGGGCCATGAATAAGCACTTTTCTGGTTTAGGTGGCTTTTAGGTATACAGGAATACAGTGATTATCTGCCCTACTTGTAGTTTTGGGAATGGTTTTAAGCATGATATCTTTCGAGAGTTTCAAATTACTGTAAATTTTGGTTACATCAATTAATTAATGAGTTATATGCATCAAAATGAAGGATTATCGGTGTTTTTGAAATAAGCTGTGCTTTCTCTTGTATCAAAACCATTAATGGTGCAAAGGCAATCTATTTTTATACGTCCTGGTAATGAAGCAATATTCTCTTTCTTTCTTTCTTTCTTTCTTATGTTGAACGAGTTGTAAACATAGCTCCCAATTCCTGCTCAACTGGAAGAGTCCCAAGAAAAAAACTTGGGCGGGTAAAAAGTAACTATTATGGAGGGAAAGTGGCCCAAGATTAAAATAATCAGGCCGAAGCAAATGAATTCTTTTTTCGTTTTTTGGACAAACCAAAGTAAATGAATTCGGGCATCAGAAAATTAGTTCCACGAATTTAGGATGGCGGAAATTGGAAATGAAAATATGAAAAAAATAATAATAATAAAAGGTAAAAACTGCGTACCACGAATTTTGGATGGCGGAAAATTGGAAATGAAAATATGAAATCAAAAAGAACAGAAAAGGTAAACACTGCGCTAGAAGAAGGGTTCGAACCTTCGACCTTGTGGTTAACAGCCACACGCTCTAACCAACTGAGCTACTCCAGCACGTCACGACAACAAATGCGTGGTATATTTCTTTGAACCATAAATTTTTCTTGCTGACGGTAGATTATTTTTCCTTTTCGGGATGAAGACTCGGGAATGAATCAGAACATTTCAGATACACAAAACTTATCAGGGCTGTGCAGCCAATGCTTTAAATCTCGATAACTCTCCTACTCAGCTGCACAGTGATACCTTCCACTCTCTCTATTCAAGTAACTCTGCCAAGTGGTTCAATCAATGACACTAGCTTACAACCATCGGTGAACTTAAGAATTTTTTAACGGAGATGCAATTTTGGCCAGGATTTAAATATATATAAAAAAAAGCTTGTTGCAAACTACGAACTAACTTCTTTTAGGTTTTTCGTCGAACAACCATGGTATATTTCGATGTTTTTCATCGAACAACCATGGTATATTTCGATGGTTCCCAGTCGTATACATCCATGTGTCAATCTAATCAAAGGAAGAGTGCTCAACGATTTCCGATCATGTGTCGATCTAATCACATGACTAATCACATAACAAGAAAGACAAAAACCGATATCAGAATTCTCCACCCAATGACATTAGATCACGAGGCTGCATATATAGAAGATCAATCTTGCAAGGCCAAAAAGAGAACAAACTAATTTGTGAGACTGCTTTGGTAATTTGATAAGATACTTTTCTCTATTTCCGCTTTCCATGCATAATTGAAACTATCTTTGGTAAACTTCAGAAATAATCACGCAAATTCAAAAAACAAGAAATCAGAGAATAAAAATACAATGTATAAAATAATTTTCTTCATTAATGCCATTGTTGCATAAAAAATTTAATGCTACAAACGATAGTGTAACCCATTCGATGTGCATTTGGAGCCACCGCCAACAACTAAATGACTACGAGACATAATTGTTTGGAATCTGATGACAAAAAACCAGCATGGAGACGAAAAATCGTTGCAAAACAATATAACCACGTCCATTTCTACGCATCATCCCCCATATTAGCTGCAAAGCGGCCAATATTTTTACCCTGAAAACACACGACGGGAAAGAAAAAGTGAGCAGGAAAGTAGAATGAAGATGAAGATCAATGAACAGCAAGCATGTTGGAGTTCTTGCGGCGACTGAAGAAGACTGTTCACAAGCATATATACCTCTGATAACATTCGCTGTTTGTTAAGTTGCTGGGTCCTTGCTTTGTTGACAACTGAGTTTGGTGATCTAAACAGCCTCTGTAACAAAGAATATGATTTATTAGTAAAAACAAAGGGATATAATTAAACAAAACAACTGCATAAATTACTAACTCTGCAAAGCTCAAGAATATCGAATGAATAGGAGACTATATTTGGTGTAGTTGTCAGAACCAAACCTTTTCACTACTGGATAGACGATGTTCAGAATCTGAAAGATACTTTTTCTTTGGAGTGAATCCAAAAACATCCTGAAGGAGTTCGTTTTCCTGTTTCAGAAAATTTATGAAACAATTAGCCTTTGCTCACCTAAAGAGGAATTACATAATGTGACGATAAAAAATAGATATGAATACTGCCCAGAAAATGACAAGGAAATTATTGAAGGTCAACAAAAGCAACCTGCATGTGCTTGATAAAACCTCCTCCAAGAAAGTGCTTCAAAAAGTTCAACTGTAATATTTTCAAAATGGAAAAGAATTGATGAGTTGAACAATCCACAAAATAAAAATGTGAATACAAAAATCGGGAGGAGAAGCAGAGGATGAGAAGGACCTGTATCATCTGTGCCCATGTCGATGTCTGTAGCGATTCACTACCAATCTTTATTGAAATTTCAGGAGAATAACCATCCTAAAATTGAAGAATGAGATCACTATACAGGATCAATGCAATTAGTATTTATTTGAATACAAAGAATCCAGATATACCTCAAAATATTCCAAGATATCCCGAAACGTATTCCGCTGGTTGCTAAGATCTTTTTTAGCAGAACTTTTACCACCTGCCTCAGCTGAAAGGTTTCTGGCTTGATTAATAATTTTTGCCTTTAGTCCTTGTATATGTACATATTCCCGAGGTTTATTTCCTTCTTCAGTTGAGCTATCACTTGAAATTTTAGCTCCCGCAGAGAACTTCTCTAAAATTCCTAGCTCAAAAATTAAAGCCAAAGCTTCACCAGCAGCTATCCGTATAGACCGGTCATCCTTGTCTAGCAGACTAGATAAGTATGATATGGACCTACATTATTGGCCAGAAAATAAAGGGCAAGATTACTTGGATGATTCAATCTACGAACCATTATGAGTTTCCAAGCTGAAATAGGGTAATTAAATGCGACACCAATTAAGGTTTTACTCACTCTTGCCAATCTTTGGGATTAAGATTCCACCCATCCATAGTCGTAAGAAGAAAGGACCATGCAGACACCATGGTGGTTATTACAGGGGCGGAGGGTTTGACTGCAACTACCTGAAAAACAGATAAGTAAGCTCAAACAACAGCATGCTCACACACTTTCTGGAAAAGTAGCTGGAACATGAATACTTACATTGGAACTCAGTTTCGGATGAACCACTTGCCACATAACTTGCATTGATTTTTCTGTTTGCTCTGGGTCACTACCACCAACAAAAGTGATAATAGCTAAACACTCCAGTAACTGCAAACATAATCCAAATTGTTTGTTCAGAACAAGGAACGCAGGTCCAGCATCAGGATAAGTCCAACAACCAGAAAGCCATTGAAGTTAAATACTCAAAAAGCATAATATCTTAGATACCGCGGATGTCTTTGTTGCTTCAGATCCTGATTTGAAAGCCTGTGAAATCACAGGTAGTGAATCCTCCAGTATTTCATTAGCATTGTCCCCACATCCGACAGTCAAAGCCAATAGTCCTGCAAACATAAATGAAAAGATTAAAAACTGATTTTGATACTGGGGGGAAAGTACGTGAATGAGCCAAAAAAAGGGGTATTGGACTAACCAATCACATGAGACGCCAAACATATCTCTTTGGACGAACCCTTTTTTATGCAATTCAGACACTGATGCAATAAAGTTGCAAATCTGAGGAACACCAAATAAGTGTATAAGATCATCATAAAAAAAAAAAAAAAAAAAAAAAAAAAAAAAAAAAAACATCCTCAGCATTGTCAGAGAGTCAGACACACATAAGGTAAGAAAACTAAGGTAAGTAGTATCCTGGGTCCTTAAGAGCATTAATGGAAATAATTGAATACACGTGCTTACTTCTTTTCCACAAACTGATGCTGTAAGTTGCTATTAAACGCTTCAATAATTGATGACAGAGCTTTTTCTCTTGTGGAACCCCTTCACATACACAAAGTAAACATATAAGCAAAACGCGCAACAATCAAATCAGCTTCTTCACACAAAGTAAATATATGAGAAAAATGGGCAACAATAAAACCAGCTTCTTCACCCTTCTCTGTTATTATTATCATTACAGAACATGATGATTAAAAGCAACAAAATTGTAAAGAGAGTACCTCTTCTCAAACAAAGCATCTACAGCTTGGTCCAGTAAACTATCCTTATCCACTTGCATTTCTTCATTCCCGGCCACTGACATACGATCAGAGCGAACGGTCGACGTTGAACTCTCACTACTATTATCATCATCGCTGTCCAACATCGCCGCATTCTTACGCTGAGAACTACCTGCCAATGCCAATCCATACATACCTCAGCACCAGAAATTCTACAATTTTAAGTTTTTTGGGTCGAAAAGCAGCGTCCATGTATCATGAGCTCCAAAAACCATTAGAATCAACAAAATTGTTGCAACAAAAACAAAAAGGAATGAATAGAACGCAAATTTGAGATCTCAAACAATCAAATTGATGTAAGCAAAACCTGAAATTGAATTGGAACCCTAATTAACAACCAACCACAACACAATCCAGAAGGTGAAATTAGAAAGGCTTACGCTTCCCCATCTGCGAGTTGTACGAGAGCTCCTCCTGACTATGGTTTCTTCGTCAGAAAAAATGACAGGGCTGACTGAGAATCTGAAAAGGAGAGCGTTGCCAAAAAGAAAATATAAAAAGATGGGTGAAATCGAATCGGTTGGAGACGAGAAAAAACAGATATTCAGAAAATCCCGAGGACAATTTAGCCATTAAAAGATTAGGGTTGTTTTGTAATATTTATTTTGAATCTGATTTTAGGGTAAAAATAGAGCGAGAGGTGTTTCTCTTTCTGGGGAAGACAAATTGGATTAGGACTTGGGAGGAGGAGGAGGAGGAGGAGGAGCTTAAATGGTCGAAAACTCGAACCGCAGTTTGTTTATTGTCTCCTCTCTCTGCTTAAATGGGATAACAAATACGGAATTATTCAATTCGTATGGCATCGAATATTCGGGCAACATGTGAACCGCTGCTCCAAGCAATCGTGTGGGTCAGTACGTGGCTAGTTCTGAGCCGTTGATTTGATCCACTTTGTGATAAGATGTCAGGGTTTGTAGTTGGCGGTGTCGGCAGGACGAGCGAGTTGGGAGAGTGGGAGGGGGTTTGAAAGAAAGTTCCAGCTTCCATTGGCTAATGTTTGCTTTGAATAATCACGACCGTTGATACTTGAGCAGATACACACAATTAGTCGCCCATTCGCGTATGAATGATTCCAACCGTAACTCCATGTGAAATTGGCGTCTTATCAAGGATGACATCGACTGACTTTACCAAAATTCTTTCATGTCTAAACAAACAACTCAGTTGCCTGGAGGAGACCCACGTAAAAATAATAATTAACAGTAATAATCAGCTAGGTTAACTTGGAGGTCAAGTAGATAATCTAATCTAACTGCAACAAAGCATTTTGAACGGCTCTAAAGCTTCCTAAACATCTGTGTTTAAGTTAACAACAAGTTTTCCTCAAAGAACAAAAAAAAAGTTGGTGAGGTTTAAGGGTTTTTGGCACATGATGAGTGTTCATTAATCATAATTTTATGGCTTAAGTCAGTCAGTCTAATCAGCTCTGTCACTGTGAACTGCTCTCATCAAATAACTACCAATTTTATGATTATCATGAAGTCTTGCTATTTGCCCAACGTGCCCTGAAACTCCCTTCTCTTTTTTTTTGGGTCTGCAGATTTCTCACTTCTGATTCTTCCTCTTTCCACAACCAAAATAGAACTTGCAGAGACAATGAAAATTGATTGATAAAAATACCCAACTACCCAATTCTGTTGAGCCTGTAACCGTTAAAACGGTGTCGCATTCTTGCTAAACAATGAGCCCCATTTCGTCTCCATTTCAACCTCTCTCCCTCTCTGTTTTCACTTCACTGTATAAATATATTGAGAGTGCTATTCACTCTTGGTGGTCAAACGTTTTCTCTCTCCAAATCTTTGGGTTCAGTGGTTTAATATTTTCTGGCTCTGTTTACTCTGTTCCTACCTACTAGATTTTCTGTGTGGATGTAATAACAGAGAAAACAAAAATGAACGGAGATCCTTCATCGCCAGACCTTTATTGCCATGAAGATCCGAACTTTTTGCATGAAGATGATGAAGAAATGGCAGAAGTAAACGTAGTCGTTAATCAAAACGAAATTGAGTTGGAAGAAGCCCACTTGCATAGCTTAATTGACAAAGAGATCGCATTTGGGTTCAGGAGGGATGAAGATTTGGTCATTGACGACTGGGTTCAAGAAGCTCGCTTGCAAGCTATCACATGGGTTCAAACAGTTAGTCTTCAAAAAACCCATTTCTTGTATTTGATTGAACTGCATTTATGAAGCTTCAAATTGGAAATCGGAATTGAATTGAAATATATTTATGTTAATGGTGTTTCTTGAATTTCAGAGAACAAGAGCTCTTGGGTTTCATCCCAGAACAGCATATTTGGCCGTCACATACTTTGATCGGTTCATTTCCCGGCAAGCCATCCCTGTAAGAATTTCATTTTTTTTCTTGGCATATGAACAACCGATGCAAGTTTAATTGGCAATGCCATTCAAATGGGTTGTTGTTGATAATGATTTTGTTTATGGTTTGCAGGAACATAAAAGAGCTGCTTACGTTAGATTGATTTCAGTGGCATGTCTATTATTGGCTGCAAAGATGGAGGAGATGAACCGCCCACCACTTTCACAATACACACTCCAATTCCAAGCCGGAAGTATTAAGAAAACGGAGCTTCTGGTATTGGTAGTCTTGAAATGGGAGATGAATTTAATCACACCCTTTGCGTTTCTTGATAACTTCATCGCAAAGTTGTGCCAAGAATCTCCACCAGGTCTAAAATCCGGGATTGAACAACGGCTCCTTTCCATAATGACAGGTATTTCTGTTACTATTTCCATGAACATTTATGTTTGATCACGCATGCGATTAATATTTTGTTTTTGGGTTGATTTAGATGGTGATTATGTATTAATTATTACGTTTGTGAATTAATGTAGAGATTCATTTAATGCATCATCGACCATCTGCCATAGCAGCTGCCGCCACCTTGATGGCAGTGGATCAGAACTTAGCACAAGAAGCACTGGAAGCCAAGATCACATCCATTCCTGAATTGTACTTCCTGGAAATTGTGAGTCTTTTTTTCCTTTCTAAATAAAACTATAGAATTCATTTCCTGATTAGTTGTTTGTTGCATCAAATAAATCAAAGATTGGATTCTGATCGATGTTCTTGGTCCTCTTGGACTTGTTTGTCTTATTCACAGGAAGCTGTGTATTCATATTACACGATAATGCAGGTGCCATAGACGAATTAACCTAAAGAATTTGGAGGCCAGTAGATGTTGTAGGAAATTCTTGAGTTACATCAGAGAAGTGATTCTGCTACTTCGGTAAATACCATATACGACAATTAGTAGTTTTCATATTGGTTTAAAGAGTGTGTATAGTTCTTAATCATGATTTGGAGATGATCAGAAACAGCTTCCTTAAGAAAATTTACAGAAATTAAAAAAGAAAAGGGGCCATAAAGGCAAAGTTTTTGGGACTCGTATCAGAGCTGGTTGCTGTTACCTCTTGAGTTTTTGCTTTTTTATTTTTATTTTTGGGTACTTATAATTCTTGGGTTCAGATATCTGTTTTGGTTATCGGAGGAGGGGCTTGATTTGGGTTTCTGATTGGATGTTTGGAATGCTTTTTAGTTCGTGTGATTTGATGCTTCTATGTTGCATGTTGGCCATCAAAACAGTTTTGTAAAGGTGAATGTGATTAGATTTGTTTGAATATTTGGGGATTGCCTTTTGAGGCGGGCCCTGCTCTTTTATTTCTTTGAAACATTGGGGTTGGCTTAGGGGCATGCATTGTTGGGGTGTCATTGGAACCCAAAAAACTTTTTGTAAAGGGATCCTCGTCTAATAACACAATGATATATGAAATAATTTTTCTATGTGTTACTGTATTATTGACCGAAATAGCAAAAAGTGTTATTCCCGTTGTATGAGAGTTTCTCTCCATGGAAACCCAAGACATTGTGGGGTCAAATGGTTTTTCTATGTGGATCATAATTTGAACTAAAGTTACCAGTCTTAACCCCAGAGAAAACAAAAAACAAATTACCTGTCTTAGGTTATGGGCTGCTGATCAGAAATTTTACAGTTTTACACTTTCTTTTTACCCTTTCACGTACAACAGAAAAATAAAAAATAAACAGATTGCATGGCATATCATAATCGTTAATGTTTTTTTATTTTTTGAATGGCCAAAAGAGTTGATAGTCGTGCTGTCAAAACTTAGTCAACTAGAAAAATAGCATCTTTGATCTTTGACCGTAGCTGAATTACCAATATAATCTCAATTTACACGTAAAAATAATTTAGACTTACATTTTATTTGAGATTTTACTTTTCCCGCTTGATGGTTCTGATATCGTGCTAATTAGAACTTGAGAAATTTTTTCCAATCGGTCATATCGACTCCAATCCTTTGGTACCACGTGTGCCCTACTTTGAAGAGGCCTCGAGGCAGAGAAAATAGCACCTGCCCATAATATATAATCACGATGGCCTATTATGAAAACAGTGGTGTCTATATACTATAATATAGCATAAAGGGCAAGGCGGTATTAGGCAATAACAAGAGCAATGGCAAGAATGAACTGCAGGATCAAACATCTGTCAGCGCAAACTAAATCCTTTAAACATTTCACTAGTTAGAAGTTAGAACAGCTATCACACATCATGTTACAAAAACCGACATCTTATCGGAAGTTGAGGATATTACATCTTTTTAGCCTTCAAATTTGCTAGACTTTCGGACTTTACAGTATCAAAAGAATGATAAGATCTTTGAAATGATCCCACAAACAAAACCTCCAGCGGTCGGCAAGTCGACAAGTACCTTTTCAAGTTTTGATTGATCTGTTTCATTACACAGGGATGAATTTCAGAGCTGCTGAAATCGGCATGCCAAGGAACCCAAGTAAAACGCTCACGAACCATTGCTGCAAACTTAGAGGAGATGTGCTTGCAAATGTGCCCAGGAACTCAATGATTATGATTTGAAAGATAACAGTGCATGAGAGCACAGTCACAAACACATAGTTCTGCAATATCCCCTTGAAGACGTTTATCTTCTCCATTTCCCTAGAGCTGATCTCATTGAAAACCTGAAAGAAGACAGAGTAGGAAGTAAATACTCTAAGCAAATCCTTATCAGCATAAGATGGGGGCTGCATTTATTCCCTCTCCAAATTTGCAAGATATTCGCCATCATATCCACCGGCATGCTGCAATTATTACTTGATATTACAGTAACAGAGCTAATTGGTCAACATTGTATATGGAAATTACTCTCCTAATGACAGCAGTGATAATAAAGTACTGCATGCATGCCAATACTCCGAATTTGATGAGTATCATTTTCCGAATTTGAATCCTAGCATTTCCTATACTCCGATTCATTAATAAACACAAATGATTAAGTCAAACGCCTGATGATTCATGATTACCTGGCAAAACACAAATGAGTTGAAAAT